TCAGATTCGTCCAGTCTCTCCCCAAAAGAGAAAGGCAACCCTTGAGTGCGAAATTCAAGAATGCCGATCCTTCCGCCGTCGATCTTCTCGAGAAAATGTTGGTGTTCGACCCCAAGAAACGAGTGTCTGCAGCTGGTGGCTTGGAGCACGAGTACCTTTCTCCATATCACGACCCAACCGACGAGCCAGTCGCAGACGAGAAGTTTGACTGGTCGTTCAATGACGCTGACCTTCCTGTTGATACCTGGAAGATCATGATGTACTCGGAAATCCTCGACTATCATAATATCGATAACCAGGAGACCGAAATGGGAGATAAGCCCTTGACGGTGGAGCAAGCTCAGGCTGTGAACAGTCAAGTAGTCCAATAGAGTGGGCGGACATCAAGTCGTCTGTGCTAGCCATGTTCAGCGCAGTCTGGGGCGTCAAGAGGCGATTCTGTTGCCTGCTCTTCATAGGACTGAGATGAACGATTACCACGATATGTTTTGGTGTAATAGGGAGGAAAATGGGCATACCAAAGATTTCCGCAACAAAAGGACACCATTTGTACGATTGCTCCTATACCTCTGTGCCGCTTAGCGGCCCTTCAAGCAGGGTCCAGTCTGGACCATTTGTCAAGTGAAGACGAGATCCAAGCCTTATGAGAGATGACGCCGAAGACGTTCTCATCCGACCAGTCCAGTACGCCTGAGAACGATGTCCCCGGTCTTTCTGACGACGGCACGAATACTATGCCTGCCTTGTTACTCGGTCACTACGTAAAGGGGGCAACAGCAACGTGGAATGAATGAATGCACGGCGGGCGCAGCCTGTAAACGAGGAAACAAACAGATAGAACCCTTTTTCTTTGGATTGTTGATCACGATATCATTTGTTTGAGTAGCAGCAAGCTCGGTTTTTTTTTTTCTTTTTTTGGTTTTTTTTTTGGGTGACTTTTTCCTCGAGGTCATTTCGCCCGTCCATGGACGGCCGTATCCATACATGCATGAGCTCCGTTTACCCCAGCAACGATCAGCTAGCCTCCCTTTCCACAGTCGAAAAGATGCAAGGAGAACAACGAACACCCTTCAGATCTGATTCTGCATGTAGGTGAGTCCCCTTTGCTATTTTACCAGGTTTGCCTGTGAAGTTGCTGGATGTGGTGGAGACGTAGTAACTGAAAGCATGCGGCGCCTCTCTCACTCTCCCGCGCGAGGGAGATTGAGAGAGAGCGGCTGAAAGCTGAGTGTCCGTTAGTCCGACTTGTCTGGAACTCGATTTCGGCATTCAGACTCACCTCATTCGACCACGTTTATTCGACATCGTTAGCCTTTTCCTGGTCATCGGCGTTCTTCTCCTTCGTGGCGTCTCCTTGCTCCGTGACCTCGTTCTTCCCCTTGGTCCAGCCGAAGAAATAGTCAGAGAGACCGCTCCGGGATTTCGGGTCGTCAAGTCGCGGGTCAGAGAGGTAGAGTTTTCCCGAGGTGCTGCCCCAGGCAGCAATGGAGCCGTGTTTGGCGGTCGGAGTGTTCAACAGGTCACCGTAGGATTTGGCCTTTCTCGGAGAAACCGGAGCGTCGAAGGCATCAGTTGTCTTGGTTGCGATGGCTCCCGAGGCAGATTCGCGACGTGGTTCGTGCTCTTTCTTTGGCGAGGAGGGTGCGGTTTTGGAGGGATCGCTGTTTGGAGTTGGATTGGCCATGATGGATGCGACCGAGATGGAGGATTATGGATTGGCTTATGGATGTGTTCAGTGGATGCTGTGTTCAAGCCTGGAAGCTACACCAAGGTTCTGAGGCTGAGGAGTGGTTCGTCCGTGCTCTGCGTGATCGAATGTTTTGGTTGACAAGATCTGCCGCCTCAAAAGGGAAAGATTGTTGCGATGGAAGAAGCTAGTGTTTGCTGTCGCGGCTTGACATGAGGCTGATGCAGTCAGGTGGTTCAAAGTACTACAGCATTGCTCAAGGCTGCGGCTTGTCTCTCTTTTCCCGTTTTGTTCGCGTCTGAATGAGGCTCAATGAAATAACGACACGGCTTGGACATACGTGAGTCAAGTCTCCCCATTGTCTGCGTCACGCATTTGTCCTGATGGCGACGGACAAAGTCATCTCTTCAATAGCAAGGTGCCTGTGCTTGCTTTGCTTTTCCTTGGTGGTCTGTCCTTTCTTTCAGTCTTCACCTACCACATTATCTGAACAAGACAGGACTGCATGTGAGAGATCCTTCAGCTTGCAGTTTTCGACGCTTGGTTGGAGTCTGAGCAGGTAGGTACCATTGAGCCTCACTTTGAGGAGCGACTTGGCGTCTTCCTCTTAGGAAACATTGTCGTTGTCAAGCACAGGCCGGGGCGACGGTGGGCAATCTCGATTTGGGGCGCAATCAACGCCCAGGACTTGCTCCTCAAGCAGGGTTGAAGTCGTCAGGTTGAAGATGTGATATATATATTATCGTCGCGCAGTTCAAGTCAATCTGAAGTCAAAGACGCAAGCTGGTGGCAACGTAGTCTGGACAACCGCAAACGCTATGCCTATTGCAGAAGTACCTCGGCATCATGCCCATCAACAAGGTTGGGCAAAGGCTGCGGCCGATATTCCACAGCACGGCTCTCAAAGTTCCTCCGCTGCCATTGTCCAAGCATGGTCTATTCCACTTGAAGCAGAAGTGGCTGACGATTCCCTCCTGAGGTAAAAACCAGACTCCCTCCTACTCGCTCTTGTTCCTGCATCCTTCAGACTGTCCCGCCCCCAGACCCCACACAGGGTAAGACGGCCGAGAAGCCAGGGCAGCACAAACTCTCGTTTGAGAACGTTCCTTCGGTCTGTCTGACGCCTCATTCATTCACATTCATCTGGTGCATCGACCGGTCTTTCACAGTGAGTAATCAAATATCCACTCACCGAAGTGCTTGTTTCTCACATATATCAATAGCCTTGCCAGCTGGGGACTGTGAGCAACGGCCGGACCAGAATCCTACTTTTCGAAAGTTCACTACGTTTGTCAAAAGTCAACATGACAGGCCCTCCCACGGCCGACCAGGCGCTCTCTGCTCCTATCCATCAAGTGTCTCTCCTGGAAAAGTTGGATGTTTTCCCGGGGCTTCTGTCACTCTGTGAGTCTCGCTTTAGGTGTTCAATGTTCCCTTGCAGCTAATAAAACACCAGTCGGGACAGCCGTCTATGCAGCGGTGGCTGCCCCTTTCCGTGGAGACTCAGGAGCTCATACGTACAAGCAGCACATCAGTTATGCCGTCGTGCGAAAGGTAGGCAGGCGAAGCTCCAGCTCTATGCATTGTCACTGAGGCGGTCAGATGGTGAAAAGGTTCAGCACGCTTCAATTACAGTGAGTGCACGCCGACTTTTTGCCGGAAACTCGGCTTACAGACTCAGGTATATAGGCGCCCCATTCTCAACCATCTACAGGAAGTGGTGTAAAGATGCTGGCGTTACACCGGAATTCGTAACTTTGAAGTCGGGATGCAAAGCATTCTGGGTAGGCGACCCGAGCACTGCCAACTATGTCTGTGTATATTATCACGGTAAGCATAATCTTTGTCTGGAGCAATTCAACAATTAACAGATATATCGATAGGAGGAGGTTTCTCCCTCGATGGCGATGACACCCATATTAAGTTCTGGCACGGTGTCCAGGATGATCTCCAAGCCGCCAACATCTCAATCGCATTCTTGTTTCTTGAATATTCTCTCGTACCACACGCCACTTATCCGAAGCCAATCTACGAAGCCATCGAAGCAGTCAAATACGTCATGGAAGACCTGAAGCGACCAGCATCGGAAATCATGCTCGCTGGCGATTCTGCTGGGGGGAATATGTGCCTCGGAGTTTTGTCGCAAATTATGCACCCATCTTCCGAGTTTCCCGAGCTCAAATTGGCCGACGGAGAGAAGCTCAAGGGTATTATTGCCGTGGCCCCATGGACCAGCTTCAACTTAGACTGGGAGAGCGAGAAAAGGAACCGTCACAAGGACATTGTCACCACCCACGCTGGCGGAAAGTGGTCGAGCGATTACCTTGCAGGACAACCAACGACACCCTTCGCAGAGCCGCTCACCGCTCCAGCGGAGTGGTGGAAAGATGCCAAGGTCGAGCATTTCCTGGTTGTATGCGGAGGGAATGAGATCCTCCATGACTCGATTGGTGCATGGGTGGAAAAGTATAAGGTGCGTGTCTCTATTCGTCTCCTTGGTTGAGCGCCGCCAGCTCCTTCAGTGAAATGTGCTAACTCTGCATCTCGAAAGTCCGTCAATCCAGATTCCATCACTCATGTGGTTGGGCAGAATGAGGCACATATTGCCCCCATCATTCACTTGCGGTTTAATGACACTGCTGAAACAGAGCAAGGACAGGCCATCAAGTCGTGGCTCAAATCGAAACTTTGACTTTCTGATTAGCTCATGCGCCTGTCACCACAGTCCAGATCAGAAATATATATTGATGTCTACCCTGCCAATAGCATTTCGGCTTGAGAGCAAGCTATTTTTCGTTTCACGACGCTCTTTTTGCAGCCGCTGTCAAGATCTCAACGGAGTCCATTCTGCAACAAACCTGTTTCATATTATATGGATTATACCTGATCAACGATCTCCTGGTAAATCAAAGCAAGAGCTCCCTATCTGCAAGGTCCAAAAAAAAAGGAAGGTGGCTTATGCTTCACTAATCTCTCTGGTCCGCACTTCACTGCAGCAGATGCGCCATGACACCACAGCCTTTGCGAATATGGCTCCTTCTCATATGTTAGCACTTCAACCCCTAATTTTGACACAAGGATTGCTCAAGTCGTCGATGTGTCACGAACTATCCGCATGTCATGCTTTTCTAGAGGCTCTCGAATGTGTGATGGCGGGTTGGTGAAGCCACGGCAACAATAACCGTTTTCCGACCTCATCACGTTTGATTGCTCTGCTTGGACAAACCGGTCTACGAAATATCGGCTACTGGAGTTTGACTTTGGTATGTATGGCTTTGAAAACTTACCGGAGGAAGATCTCTGAGGCGCATCTATGAGTCCCCTTTCCACTCCAGGTCATCAAAGCCGATTCAGTGAGACCTCACCCTGCCCTTCTGGGACTCCAGCATCATGGCTCTCACTGCCACATCACTGTAAAAGCTCAACAGCTACGCCGGCCACGCAATACTCCTCCCAAAGCTGGCGCACTTCCGACCACAAGCTACTATCAAGGACGTTAACGATCGATCCTGATCGCCAACCGACAGAAGGTTTGCAGCGAAAGTATTCAATCTTATCATGGTCCCTGTTCCGATCTAAGAGATATCGTGCTGAATCTCATTCACGAACAGTTGAAACCCGCAAAGAGGCAGTTGCAAAACCTTGTTGGTGGCCATCGGCTCCAGATCTCACAACAAAAAAGAAGTTGAAAATCAGCCCACCGATCCCTCTTCGGCCAGAGTCTTTGTGTCGTCAAAGATCACTTCAGTCGACGCATCAACACGGATCGAGAGATCTCTTCACGGATGGATACCTATCAGGTCCCCCGCCAGTTCCTCCTTCAGAATGGGATGCCGAGACTCGAAGAAAGCAGCAGTTGGCCGATCTAGATCCGGACAAGAGAGGTCTAGCATTTGTTCGAATCCATCCCGACGGCTGGAGCAAGGTCACCCCAAAACAATGGGTGGAAGATCAGTTCAGCAACAATTCGTCAGACGCTGGCGCAGACGACGACCGGAGTGTGTACAGTCAGAGCAATGGCGGGGAAATTTGTAAACCACTGGAGGGAGCTTCTGCGGTCGAGAACGAAAAGGGACATGTAGCCTCCCTGCATCCGCCCACTGACACTGTCGAGCAGCCCGCTGTGGGAGCCCTTAATGCCGAAGTTGGCATACATCCACGCTGGAGCGCAGGATTGGAAGCCGGCTTGTCTTCTTCCGATCCTATTCGATACTGGATGTCCTCGCTTCGACCCCTTCCTGACCCTCATCTATCTTTTCCGACTCAATACAGTGACGAGGGCGAACATGACGAAGACGATTCGAGCCCACGCAAGTCCAAATGTCAGAATAAACGACCTCATCAAGTCTTCACTGGCCCATTTACATCGAACCAGGAACCCTCAGCAAGTCTCGAGCCTGCAATCAGAGTGAACGCATGCCATTCCTTTCATTCGAACTCATTGCCACTGGTGCCGCGACCCTTGAGGTTATCGCAGCGGCACCTGAGAGCTCCACCGCCTGCCACTGCCACCAAAAGAGAGAATGAGATTCCACATAGCCGCAGTAACTGTGGCCTTGTTTGTGTGCAGGACGACCAAGATCCCGAATCAAAATCACTTCAGTCGTCCTGGTCTACTATCTACTGCGGTGGCGAAGGAGGAGGCGATGCAGCAGCTGGTGCAGCAGCAAAAAAAAAAAGACAAGTCGGAAATAGGCTATTCATTGGGCCCTTGGGTAGAACATATAGAGAAAAGGCTTTGCCACCCTTGGCCCCTATCTGCAGCGACGACGACGACTACAACGATGACAACGACGCTTGTTCGAATCAAGACTGTGGCTATCTGGAATCACTATACCAAGACGGCAAGGTCGGAAAAAGGGAACAGGGAGAAAATGAAAAAGAAAAGGGCACGGACCGACTCAATGCAGACATTGACGAGATTCTCGACATGTACCTGCCCGTGAGTCCTGCAACAGGACCTCGAGACAAGAATTCTTCAGGACCGAAAACCGAGCGTCTGGGCGCCGGGACCAAGGACAAGAGCAAGAACAGGAGCATGAAAAAGGCCAAGTCTGCGCAAAGCATGTATCCGCCTCAGCGACCTGCGCGGCCGTCATTCGCCACGGATCCAGAACTAAGGGTGAATAACCAATCAAACAACTGTGGGATGTCGCTGCTGCATGGGACGACGACGACTAAATGCACAACAATGACAACAGCAAAGACAATGACGAGCCCTGGTACGCCGCTCATAATGGCGTATCCTTGCGCCTATGACCCGGAGAAATACCCTGAGCTCCGGCACGGACGGGAGGAATGGGAGAGGAGGGTCTGCTTAGGGCCAGGAGCAGCAGCGATGGCTTGCGTCGACGAAGATGGCCAAATCTGGATTTAACTGTCTCTTTTTTCTTGCCAATTTGTCAATTTGGTTTGCCCTAATTAGCCCGTGCCCCTTGAATTCGTTCGTTTGGGGCCACAGCACACATTACTCAAGGCCCAAAGGGCGGCTGCCGTATGAATCTGAGGGGCTGGAACCCCTGCAAATCGACGTACGTTTCTTGGTAGAAGGAAGAGGGGATAGGTCTAATAGTTAGTTATTTTATTCCTCTTAGATGCTTTTTGCGTCGGTTTTGCAATAACTGTCGAAGCGCAGCGGTCGGGGCGGCCGGGCGGACGAGTACTTCGTGTGTCCATGACGGGATTATGATCAGAATGAATCATTTTTGATGACAAAACAAATAAATCCTTTGTTTTCTTTCCGTGCTTTTGAGATCCATTCACAATTTGGTATCCGTCTTCATTTTGTTGGCCTGTCTGTCTGAGTTGTTAACTACTACTCGTCCCCTAGCTATCTCCTTCTGTTGCCGCCTGTTCCTCCTGTCCGCAGTCCTCTTCGACTTCTTTGTAAAGCAAACCTCCTCTTCCCGGGGGAGCAATGTCGTTGTCGTCATCGTCAATGAAGAAAAGGAACTTCCATGACTTACACGTTGCTCTGGACAATCTCCTTGACTTCCTGTTCACTCAAGCCCTTGAGGCCCAGCAACTCGTTGTCCGTCCTGCCCTCGAAAGTGCCGCCGGTCTCCTCGCCGCCAAAAATCCCGCTCAGAATGAACCCAACCATGGCCTTGCCGATGTCTCCGCCCTTGGTCAGCTCATCCATGCTCTCCTGGTACAGCTCCTTCGTCATCTTCACAGGCGCATCCCAGTCTTTCCCGTCCTTCTCCTTTGCGTAGGCGATCAGTTTGTTCTGCGTGGTGACCGTGTCGTTCACGTAGACGGGCCGGTTGGAGGTCTCGGCGAGGTGTTCGATCACTCCGATCACGGCTTGACCGATCGATTTCAGCGTCGTGGTCGAGAACTTCGTATCGCCGCCATTGTACAGTGTGCCAGAGTGTTTGGCCGGGTTCAAAATGAAGCCATGCTGGAGACCCCAGTCGAAAAAGGGCCCAGTGATCACCAGCGTGTAGCTGAAATTCGGGTTCTCCTTGACCTTCGCCTTGAGGTAGTCCTGCGTTGCGACCTTGTATTTGAACACCGGGAGAGCAGCGGTCTTCGGGTTACATGTATCACTGCCAAACTCGGATGGGAGGAATCTTTCCACCCCGGCGGCGACGGAAGCGTCGATTAGAGGATTCTGCTCGCCCACGCTGGTGGTTGCGAGGGTGGAGACCACCACTTTGACCCCTTCAAGAGCTGCTGTGAGTTCGGGTATGGAGGTGTAATCGACTTCTTTGATTGTGATGTTGCTGGACTGGGGGAGTTTGGAGGCGCTGTTGCTCCCCTTGCGGGTCAGCACGGTGACGGGGTAGTTGGCCGCAACAAGTGCGTTGACGACCGGGAGGCCGAGGTTTCCTGTGGCTCCGGCGACGGCGACTTTTACAGGGGCCATAATGTGCACTGTAGCGGAAGACCAGTGTTGGTGATTTCTCCTCTGAACAATTTGAAAGAGTGCTTGTCTGTGGACACACGACAGCGGGCAGAATAAGACGATATCTAAGTATCCTGATATGTGAAATGTGGGGCTGGCTTGGATTCAATGGGGATGTGGAGTTGCTTCCCGTGTCTGTAGCTGGTTGCGGATGTCAGAGTTGCTTCGAGAAATGGTGTGATCGGCTTGAGATGGAGGGAGGAAGAGAAAAAGCTCTTCTCCTGCAGAGTCGAGGGCCTTATTATATTCCCAACTGTCAGCTTCCGTCCGGGAACATGCTTCGTATCTGACAATGTCGGTGCTGTACACTCGAAAATCCAACCCGCCCCCAACATTCCGTTGCAGAGCTCAATTCCGCTGCGGGAATGGTTAAGGACCTGTCTCGTATGTCTCCGCATTGTAGATTCCGTGGTCCGAAGCTTGGTTAGTTCTTCGGTTTGAAATCCAGCAAGACATCAATGCCGACTTTCCTGATACTGGTTTGTCAACAGTGCGAGTGTAAGACGAGGCTACGCCATGTGGAGACGCCAGGGGTACAAGGCACCTTGCCGCTGAGTCATCGCCTTCTCGTTTCTCGATGAAAAGTCGCCGAAAATCGCTAAAGCGGAGCAGAGTTGATCCGACAGAGTACGGGGCGTGCAACCCGGTCGATGGCGACATTGATGGAGAATGGAGAATGGAGACCCAGCGAGGAAAGACGCAGCATTAATCATGTGTCAAGTGATAAATGAATATACAGTGTTGCTCTGGGCCCTCAGGAAGGAATGCCCTCGTACTCCCACCCATTATCTCCTCTTCTCCGCGTTCTGCTATTCCTTCGGTTCTGGTTACATTTGACTAGGATCGTCAACACGCTCAATAATAGAATGATCAGTGCCGCTACCGTCGGGATGAGGATCTGTCTCTGCTGTTCTTCCTGCTTGAAGTCGGAGTAAGGGCATGTTGCATTGGGACCGCCGAGCACCCAGCAGTTGGCTTGGTCTAAAGAGTTAAAATTGATCCAGACCCCTGACAAGATCCCGTCTGAACCATCATCTCGCGGATTCGTGTCGTTCAATATCTGCCGGTGCAAGTATGTGTTTTCAAGCCCCGTCCTAGGGAGGTCGAACGAAGTATCTTCTGGACATGCATCTGGAGCCGCACTATATGGAACATCGAACGTGGAAAGACGCCATGCATATGGTTGGCCTGCAATGCGACATGCAGCTCTCCGTGATTTCTGGCACGGCTCCAACCGCCAATGCCCCCGGTATCGGCTGGTTGCGTCGATCACTGCACACCGAAGGTCGTCATTTGTGTTTTTGCCGTTGGCTGACGTCGTATTTCGTGGCTCTCCTGGAGCCCATCCAAACACCGTTGATTGTGCAAAACTCTGGTAGGAGATCAAATTGTTCTGAACGGATGAATTCCCAAGCGTCATTTTCGTGATGGACGAGAAGCCGCATGCCGTTAAGTCCTCGGCAAGGATGGGGAGAGCATTTGAGCTCGTGTCCTGGATGGCTGCAACCGCCCAAGATGCATTGGTCTGAGCGACAGTCGTTTCACCTGAATGGTAATAGCAGCCCGAGGTCACCTCCCCGCTGTTGCTCCACTCGACAGGCGGAGTTGGAAGCAGCTCGCTCGCATTGAAGACGTTGCTCGACTCGCTCACAAAGTCATACTCTGCCATCTGTGGATCGATTTCATCCCAGCTCAGCAGGAGCCTTCGGCTGTCAGTGAGGAGGATCCAGTTTTGTCCAGGCCAGCCGTCTGGTGTTGAAACGATGCCGTCCTTTTCTGCTTCCACCGTACGAAAGTAATTTGCATCTGTGGGTACTTTGTAATCATCACGGAACCACGACCTGTTCAGATCTTTTCGATCATCTTGTAAGTTTTGAGGAGTGTATATATTCCTGCTGAGCGCAGCTTCAAACTGGGCTCCTATAAGCTCATCAGAACGAGGCAGTCGGCCCGGCATCGGTGTCTGTGCAGGCGAGGAAGGATTGGTGAACGGCGCGGCGGCGTGTAACTTGATGTCAAGGAAATGTAATCGTGCCGAGATGGTGTCTGAGGTTTGGTCAAAGTAATCATTGTACAAGGAAATGACGGCACCAATGTTCAAATCCAGGCTACACATGTAAGGTCCCAATTGGAGTAAAGTTCCACCTGTAACACCAGTAGAGGTTGGGATGGCCACATCGCTCGTGGAAATTGTGGCACTACGGCTGATTGCGGGAGTGGTCGTGGCAATCAGCGACGTAGAGTTGCCTACCAAGGGTGACGAAGACTGCCGCTTTTCGAGAGCAGGAGCAAGAGACACCGTTGCATTTGAACCTGCTGTGGTGGTAGGAAGAGGAGTGGTAAGGGAAGTAGACGCCGTGATTGAATATAGAGCCGACGTATCCACGCTGTAACCAGCAGTCGCATTGCCTACCAGCGGCGGAAGCTCGACTGGACACAGACTGAATTGGCGATTGATGTTGTCCCAGTATAGATCAATGATCAAACGGCGGAACTGGCTTGCAAACAGATCCGAAATACATGTTTGAGTCGGGAGGTCATCGTAGACCCCATTGGCAAAGCAGGCTTCTGTAACGTAAACTCCTGGATATGTTATGTAATTAATGGGGATTTGCCCTGAGGCATCTCGCATAGACTGGATTAATCAGTGGAAACAAGCATTTAGAGCCTTGAAGCTGGAAACTCACCAGGAACACAGTCCCCCAGTGGTCATCCGGTTCCGCCGCCGGATCAGGTTGGTATTGGAGCGTCGTCATCTGTCAGAGCGGCGTCTTGACATGTTGAAGGGGTATGAGATAGTCCACTTCTTCCAGCAACGAGGAAATGAGCAAAGACGGGTTGGAGTCAAGTTGACAATGGCGATAGAATTTCGTCGCGGAAAGACCCCTTATCCAGCAAATGGAGACGTGATCCTCCTGTATATCAAGGTCAAGTACGTATTAACATTGGTGTAATCCTCTGTGAACCCGGAATGCTGAATACCGCGGTCGTTGTGGATGTTGTGCAAGTCGCGCGAGGACGACGACGAGGTTCAGCCATAAGATGCTGCACAGCCACGGTCTTGGCGACGAGGCTGAAGTCAGTGGCGCCAGCACAGACGCAGGGACAAATGGTGCAAATGCTTGTTCATGGGAATTTTTGGCGCCTCTCACTTTGGTCTCATCGCAAACCGTGTCTTCTCCAAGGGCCCAAGTCACCCTCTATCACTACACCGACGACTTTCGCTTCTCTCGAGCCAGATTGAATTCTACCTTTGTAGAAGCCTAACACATCGAACGGATCATTCACACGCACACCCACTTCCCTCACTCTTTCGCAATCCTCTCCGCTACCTGACCCCTGCAACCATGGCATCCCCAGGCGGCCCTCCGCCGGGCGCCCAACCCTTCAGCCCACAACAAATCCAACAATTGATTGCCATGGAAGCTCAAAAGCGCGGAATGACCATCCCCCAATTTCAAGCCTTCCAACGACAACAGATCGAGGCCGAAGCCGCCAAAGCGGGAATGTCCCCTCAGCAGTTTGTGCAGATGAAGCAGGAAGAGGCTAGACAGCAGTTTATGCGCCAGCAACAAGCGGCTCAGCAGCAACAACAGGCACAGGGTGGCCAAGCACAAGGACAACCACGAGGACCGCCGCCCGGGCAGCAGGCCCAACATATCCCGTTGAATGCAAAGGTGGAGGCTAAACCCGAGGCGCTGGCAGTCGCGAAGTTTTTACGTTCCCAGGATTTGAAAACTAGAACATGTATCTTGAATAGCGAGAGGAAGGATATGTTCAAAGGTATGACAGAATGATTCGTTCTATACCATCGTTCACCGCTGACCATGACCCTGTACAGTCAAACGTGCATTCCGTGCCCTGAACTCCGACACCTACAAGAAGGCCCAAAAGAAGGACCCCTTATTGCCCAAAGTCGAGAATGACGTGGATGCCCGTGCAGCCCTCCAACTCCTCCCCCTCTCGATGCTCGCTTTGCGGGTTTCCAAAAAGGATGCACATGAGGGACACAACCACCCCAAACCCAAGAAAGAGAAACGAGTCAAGGGGTTGTGGGAAGTCAAGATCGAGCAACAGCAGGATTTTGACCCTATGATGCATTACGTCTGGTTGTATGAGGGGTCGCAGTGGAAGACTAAACTGTGGGCAGCATTGGTTGTCGTCTTGGTCTTCGCAGCAGTTCTTTTCCCGCTCTGGCCGCTCGTATTGAGACAGGGCGTGTGGTACCTTTCGGTTGGCATGATGGGGCTGATTGGTTTGTTCTTTGCCATGGCTATCTTCCGCCTGATCCTCTTTATCATCACCTTCTTCCTTGTCCCCCCTGGACTATGGCTATATCCCAACCTCTTTGAAGATGTGGGCTTCTTCGAGAGTTTCCGGCCGTTGTGGGGCTGGCATGAAACGAAGGAGGATATCAAGCGAAAGAAGAAGGAGAAGAAGGCCAAGAAAGCTCAGAAAAAGCTAGCCGCTGCCGCTGCCGCTGGTGGTGGAGGCGAGAAAAACACTGCTCCTGTGGTGGTGCCGCCCTCGAATGGTGCCATCGTCACGTCTGCAGTCGAACCTGCTGCCACTTCGACCGCAGCTAAACGACATGTTGCCCCAACGGTGGAGGAGGCTGATGATGAATGAATGAATTTGACACCGGGATCGAGGCGGTAACATGGTTTGGCACGGCGTCCTGGGTGTCTGAGAGTGCTTTGACACAAAGAGGGTGGCTGATGTACTTATATAGGCCGAACTTGGGTTAGCATGATTGACCGAGATGGTCTCAGCCGACTTCGCCCCATCCCATGACTCGTGCCAATTTCTGTTGATCTGTCTGTGCGGCATTTGGCTGCCCCTCTTCGTGAGGCCTCGTCGTTTTCCCCATCTCACCAACTTGTGCCGTCACTCTCGCCAGCAGAACCCTCATGCGGGCTAATTCTTGGCTCAATTCACCGTCTCTTGTGACCAGGTTTGGCTGAATGTTCTCCTGCGGCTCGCGCAGCGGCTCCATCAACTGCTGCAAACGTCGATACTGTGCAAGTTTCCCTTTCAATACATCCCTCTGCTGGCTGAGCGACAGCAGTTCTTCGCGCATGCGGGTATACCGTTCTTCACGTTCCGCGTCCCCTGGTCCCTCTCGCCCTTCCCGCTCCCGGGGTCTGTGGTCCGGGTGTAGATGGAGGCCGCCGTCATAGTCCTGCGGCAAAGACGCGATGAATTCAGAGTCGGTGAGGTCGGCGTCCCTGCGGATTGCGACCGTGTCGAGGTCGGGGTCCGCGTCGTCCGCGGACACGAGCGTCCAGTGCAACGACTCGATCTGCTCGGCGACGTGGCGCTGGGACTGCGTGGAGAAGATGAGGCGGTTGTGCTGTTTGATTTTGTCGTTGACTGCAAAATGTTGATTGCGCGAGTTTCGTCAGCGAAAAATGTGTCAAACAAAAACAGTACTAAGTCACCATACTTCCTCTTTCATGGGCAGCCGGGGGATGTTCAATTGCTATTGTTCTTTAGGACAAATGCATCTGTTTTGTATTACCTTTCGAAACGAGATCCTGGATCATTTTGTCGCTGAGATGACCTTCTGTGGGCTCGGGCAGGAGGAGATCCCGCCATTGAGTCGACGGTTCCAGGGGCGTTTCCAGGTGACGGACCTGGGACCGGATGAACGCTGCTTTGAGCGCCGTGATTGACGGTTCGTCCATGTTCAAAAGGAGTGTCTTGTATCAGTAGAGGTGGTTTCTTGTTGCTGCTGCGTACTTAGTCCATTGACCACGCGACGCGCTCCGCAAGTCGCGTCTCGGGCAAATACTCAGCAGTAAGGCTGCCAGCTCGCTGGCTCGCCAGTTACACCCCCCAAAGCACACCGTGCTCGACCGCAAGCACTTTAGTGTGGAGCACAAACACCGCAAGCGAAGTCATCGCCTCTTTTGGCCTTTTGTCTCGGAAGGCCGCACCGTTCAGCATCAATGACCTCGGCTCATTTCTTGAAGCGGCTTCGGCCATCTCCAAAGGAACAAGCGACGCATGAGTCGGTCTTTTTGCCCTTTCAGATATATCATCTAGAAACCATGTATCAGATCTGATGTGACTCTCATAATAATTGCGTTTCGTTGAGTCCCTTTCCTCTCTCTCACTGCGATAGACTTGGCTTCTCGTCATCATGGCCTTGCAATCTCGTCCTAGAGTGCTCATGTTTGATATTGGAGGTGTTTGCGTAAGTTTCCAGCTCGCTGTTTTCTGGTTCAATGCCTCGGCTTGCTGTTTAATATGCTTGGGGATGCCCACCGAATCCCGTCGCGGTTGACGGATCAATACACTGGAGAAAGAAGAGAGAAGAGGGAGAGAAAAATCAAAACGGAAAATGGGACATTTATATCTCGACACAGCTGTATGTCTGAGAGGGTATTGATCTTTTCCACGCTCTAGGTCCAATCCCCCTTCCAAGCCATCCTCGACTACGAGATCAAGCAGGGCATTCCCACCGGTTACATCAACTACTCAATCCGGGCGCTGACGCCCAACGGAGCCTGGCACAAGCTGGAACGGGGCGAAATCCCGAACAACGCCGAGTACTTTCGCATGTTCAAGGCCGACCTGCAGCGTCCGGACTTGTGGGAGCAATTCCACCGCGACAAGCTCTCGCTCACAGACGCCTCAAAGCTGCCGCCCGTGCCGGACATCGACGCCGAAGCCTTGTACTGGACCATGATGAGCCACTCGCGCAACCCGGACCCGTGGATGTACCCGGCACTGCTCAAGCTGAAAGCCGACGGCCGGTACAAGCTCGCCGCGCTGTCAAACACGACCGTCTACCCGGAAGGTCACCCGTTCAACGACCCCTCGCCCGACGACGTGCGCCAGGTGTTTGAGATTTTCGTGTCCAGCGCCCACGTCGGCATGAGGAAACCCAACCGCGACATCTACGAGCACGCGCTGCAGCTGATCCGCGACAAATGGGGCAGCGACATCAGACCGCAGGATATCGTGTTTCTGGACGACATCGGCGAGAACCTCAAGACGGCCAAGAGCTTGGGCATCAGGACGATCAGGGTGGTGCTAGGCAAAACTAAGGATGCCGTCAGAGAGCTGGAGAACGTGACCGGTTTGACCTTGGTGGGCGAGCCGTGGACCAAGGCGAAATTATAATAGATGTTCTTTTATCGGGCCATTTTATTTTCCTCTCGCCAGTTTGAGTTTGGAGCTCTCTGGTCGGAACGTCCATAGAGAACTGGGATATAGACAAAGGGGGCTGTATCATGAACTACCGACAGATCCTTGTTGCTTTACCCCTGTACCAAGTGAAGTGCCATGGCTCAACTCGGGCCAAGCTATCGGGCGATATCCAAGCGGCTGGGCAATAGTTAGACCTGTTTCCCTGCGCCCATGCCAAATTTTCGTCATTCGGAAGATAATGCTCTTCCCCCGTGGAAGATTGCTCGAGGGCGAAGGGATCCCCTATGTCCACACGAGCGGCTCAGACGAGGTCGCCATCTCCGGAAGGGCAAGGTCCCAGGGTTGTAGGCGTGATAGATCGGCCCGGTTAGTTTGGCGGATCTTCTGACAGTCCAAGATGAGATTCTATCAAGTGAAAAAGAAGTGTTAGCTCCCTTTTTGCTCCAATTGCCGCTTTCTCGCTAATAGCGTGGGGACCATTTAGCACCCTAGGGGCGCCGAAGGAAGTTGTGGCACTCCTGCCAGAAAAGTGTCCCTACATACCTGGGGAATGAAATGCCGGCGTCCCTCCTCGTCAATCTCCTCTGTCCGAACCTTGAACAGCTCCTCATCGCTGTGACCAGGGACCGTTAGCTCGGCGCCAAAATTGAGAGAAAATTTGTAGGGCGCAACACTATCAGTATTCCAGATCGCTTTCTTCAAGGCTGGGTGGTTTTGTGTCATGTCGGCAGTCGTTATCAGAAATCTTTCTTTCACGAAGGAGTAGATCGTTTGAGGATCTGATGGCGAAGCCTTAAATACGTAAAATCTGAGCTGGAGCTTTTGGAGGTTTGGAAGCCAGTGGCTGGCAAACGAAGTGAACGCGTCGAGGCTTCCATCCAAGCCATCTGGGAAGGACAGACAGCGTTGCAACCTCGCCTTCTTCACTAGCGCCGCGTTGCTTCTGGACATGTAGAAATTCCCTTCCGAATAGAATGCTGGGAAGTCCCCTGCACTCGTGTCGACCCACACGTTCTCACCGTAGAATATCACACGTCCCTCTTCGTACATTTGGCTGCAGGTGAAGAGCAGACCTAGAGCGTGGACCTGTCCATCGGGTTTCCAGATCTGCGTGACCGTGCAATCATGTCCACGGACCGTGTCATCCATTTCGCGGTGCACTCCGGAAGTGGCAGACGCTCTCTCCGCGACAGCATAGCTCCTGAAGCGTAAAGGGATTTCCTTTTCACCCACCAAGACATACCGGACAATCTTGTCTCGGATCTCGCGGGGGATGCCTAGGAGCTGTAGATTTGGATCCCTGGAAGCACCCGAGACCTCTGCTGGCTGGGTGGGCGGGAATTAGATTGACGTGTTTTCTTCGACGAGGGCAGTCTTACATGAAGCTTTGATTCCCCAGTAATGAGTGACATGAGCCATTGACTCCTAGGTGCAGTCGAGGTGACAGGAAGCCCAGGAATAAACTGTTCTTGCAGATATGCTTTCAGAGCAACATTGCCACCTGCATCAAAAGCAGGGTCGTCTAAGGCATCCTCTCCCCGGCAGAATGCATTAAGGAAGTCTTCTGGGCCAACCCGATTTGGTCGAGGGTTCCATTGTAACAGCAGCTCGGCGGCTTGAAGTCTCGATGAAGACGGAAAAGGGGCAATGCCGTCGTCTTTGAGGTCTTGATGCTCGGCCTCTGACCAGAAAGTGGATATGTAAGTCTCTGACACGGCCGTGGCTCCTTCATAGCTTCCTTACCATCCATTGAGAAATTGTCCACGCCTCGGATATCTCCAGGAATAGAAGTTGAACGAGGACTGCCCGCCATGTTGCTTATGGAGGAATTGGCACTGGCTAGAAGCAGGAAAGCGCCAAAGATGAAGTCTTTTGTATGGAGATGTTACAAAGAAGCTGAGAATGCTCGGAGAGGCTCTGCTCTTCCTCATGGGACGAATGGAATGTTTACCTTCCACGTTATGTCATTGTGTTCTTGCTAGTGTAAAATCGAACAATGCGCGGTGAGTAATTACGAGGAATACTCTATTGAGAGATGTGGAATGGTCAGAGCGACAAGCATGAAACAAGCCACGTGCACAGCCCAGCCACAGCCTCATCAGACCGTAATTGCAGGATGCCGGCGGCGGCCGGAGTTTTGCCGCCATTCCCGACTTTTTCTTGCTGCTTGCATGTGCTTTGTTATCTGCTCGAGGACGTATCTGAGTCGCCATGAAACGTAGGACTCTACCCCGGGACTCGCATGATGCTTACACAGCAGAGCCTTTGCACTGGATACCTTCAACAACCTCTGACTTGAGTTCACCATCCCCAGTAACTCCCATCTCGGCCGCATATGTCGTCCGCGGCGTCCATCGCGACGATGTCCGCGGAGTTGTCACTTCCAACATCCGGTCGACTTGTTCTAGGGTAAGGCCTTTGGTTTCAGGAATGAGGAAATAGGCATAGACAAGGCAACACGCGCATAGAGCACCCCAGATAAAGAACACCTTGGGACCCAGGTTACCTTCGTCGGAACTCACCATGTACGGTGTGATGATGGCGATGATCTGTATCGTGAACTATGTTACTGGACGCCATCAAACAAAAAGGGATATTTCACTTACACAGTTCCAGAGCCAATTCGAAGCGGTGGACAGCCCGACTCCACGAGACCGGATAGGGAGAGGAAACACTTCTCCAATCACCACCCAGGCTCCGGGTCCCCAGGTGGCTGCGAAAAAGAAGATGTAAATGCAGATAAATGCAATCTCAGCCTTGACAGTCTGCGGGTTGTGGCCGTCGGAAGTTCCAGCGATTGCGACGATGAACTGGCACACGACCATGCCGACAGCACCCCAGATCATGATTGAACGACGACCGAATCGTTCAATGATCCAGAAAGACAGTGGAGTTGAACAGACATTCACGAGGGTTGGTGATTAGAGAAATCAGGAAGGGATTCTGAATAGTTCCGAGCTGGGTGAAGAAAGTGGTGCCGCTAGATTACCGTTAGCATCGGACAGCCGACAAAGCCTTGGAGGATGCTCTCGCGCAAGAAACAGGTAAGTTTGCCAAAGACGACTTACAAGTAAAAGATGAAATTAACTCCTGTCCACTGCTGCATCATCTGCAGAGAAGTACCCAAAATCGTTCGACGCAGGTTTGAGCTCGGTTTGAAGAGACTGCCTTTGAAGCAGTTGGTCCCACTGGCAAAGTAGCTCCCTTGGGGAATGACTCGCAGCTCATACTCATGATTGGCGACGACCTCTGCCAATTCCTGCTGGATCAGCTCGGACGCGCGAGGCTGGCCTCGGAGACGAGCAAGAGCGTGAGTTGCTTTGTCTAGGTTGCCGCGTTTGACGAAATATCGTGGAGATTCGGGCAAGGTGAGCAGTCCTGCGGCCAGGACAATTGCCCAGAGCATTTGGAGAGCAATGGGAATTCGGTATGAGCCAGAGTCTGTGAAATTCTCGGTGCCGTAGACAACGCACGACGCCAGCAGCAAACCCAGAGTGATGCAGAATTGGTATCCAGAAACAAGAGCGCCCCTATGTTGTTCATCAACACTGGGCATCCCGAGCCAAAATTTGTGAGTCTTTAGCGAGACTTACCGGACTTTGCGGGGGGAGATTTCCGACATGTACAATATGATTGTGGCGGACACAAAACCAACACCGAACCCAGCTATGAGACGACCGGCAATCAGAAGGCCGTAAGCTGTGGCGGCAGTCTGGAGGGCAGCGCCGACGCAGAACACGACGCAACCGGCAATGATGGTGGTTCGACGACCAATGAAGTCGGCGAGGTCACCGGCAATGACTAGAAAGACGGAGTCAGTCCTTGATATTCAAAATAAGACTTGGGAACACCCTACTTGCACCGAAGAAGGTTCCACAAGACAGGATTGACACGATCAGGGACCGGCGCCACGAAGGGATGACAAAAGCCGCAGTCTCCGCAGCCGTCGCATTTGACTCGGGATACGGCTTGCCAGTGAATTCATGAATGAAAAACTTCATCGCCATCACGCCGTTGATGTAGCCCGAGTCATACCCAAAGAAAATTCCCCCGAAGGCCGCAAAGGCGCACATCAGGTAGGCCCTCAAAGTGACCGGCGCTTCAACACGGGCGACATCGGTCGTAGCCGCAAGGTGGACAGCGCCTTCACCAGGCATGGTGAATGAGCGGAGTGTGAGATATTGTCCGGATAGAGTGTTTCTGGATATTGTTGTGAATGTTAATACACTTGATCAACTGCGGAAGTACGCGCAGGGACGCAGAACAGAAGATGTGGTGAGGTCGTTGCGGGTGGAGGATGAAGAGAAGTCAAGGTCCGCGAGAGAAAGAGAAGAAATAAGGCGTATCGAGCAACCAGCCGGATGAAGCAGGAGCGGTTCGAAGGTTGATTGACTTCTTGTAGTCGGAAAGGAAAGGCTGGATGAGGAAAGGAAGTCGCAGGCAATGTTTGTTCACGTGGACGTCGAACAAGTGAAGAGACGCCCCATGGTAGAGTGCCAGAGTGTCAGGCGGACGGGTCGCTTTGTCCAACAATGGCGACTTTCTTCTTCACTGTCCCTTCTGTTCCCAAATTTCGATGTACGTCCTTAGGGGTTGATGACTGCCTTGTCGTGTGACAGGATGACAAGTGACAGGGGATGCTGGGGAGAGGTAGGACAAGGTTACGCGCGGGCGATTGAGACACGGCCGGTTATAAATAATCTAGGTGGCATTCTTGCTCTCTGGTCAATCAGCCGCAAAAGCTTTGATATGGACGGAGGCGACCACAAGGCTGAACCTCAGTGAGGCGGGCAGCCTTGTCGCTTGGAAGTCAGATCTGTCACACTCTCCATTATCCCTGCGATCTCATCCCCTTACATCACCTTTCTGCTGTTTCATGATTTTGTTGACGGATCATGATGCTCGAGATCCGATTGCCATAACTGACATTCTTAAGCTTCACCACAAAGAATAATTTCGCTGTGACACGTGCCCGTCCCATCCTTTGTTGCCCCTGAAATAACACGGCAATAGATGTTGAATCTAGACCCGAGGTCTTTCCCCTGACATCCTCCAACTCAGACCTGCGTAGGCGACATTTGGGTATTTCGACTTTCTTGACACTCAGATACCGCGCAATCTGATATCTCGACGGCTGTGAGATAGGCCCCGTGGAGTATGTTGAATGCATCGTTCTCACACTGGTAGAATCGACCTCTTTAGAATTTCTCAAATAAACGGCGTTGATGCTGCGCATCGAAGGAGGGTTCCTCCTTTGGACAAGTCTATTTGTCCTGGAACACGACCTCAATGACCGTATCCGAGCTGCCTTCAGGTTGTACAAACGCCACAATCTCTAGCCTCTCATCTGCTTGCTTGAACAGGTCAATCCAATCATCCTTTCTCCGCTCAAGAGCATTTAGCACCGTCCACATTTGCAGGTCCGCCGTTGTGGTAAGACGTTCCAACGGTGGAGGGATGACTCCTATCGGAGGCATCACATTGTCTGAAACAATAATTCGCGCGCCATCCTTCATAGTTCCGCCTAGGCCATTGATGAGGTTCCGTAGGATTTTAATGGCAATGGCATCAGTCCAGTCATGTAGAACATGCCGCAGGAGGAACACGTCGGCGCCGTACTGGGGTTGGGGAGTCATAAAATCGTATTGCTGGAATGTGATCCGCGATTTGAGGTCCGTGGGGATGAGTGCATTAAAAGCATTCTCGACCTCGGGCAAGTCTTGGACAACAAATCGAAGAGCAGGAAACTTCTCAGCCAGTGACATGGAGATGAATCCACTAGATCCGCCAACCTATGCACAGGTGGTTAGGCAAGACATTGACGGTTTGCAACTAACCAATACTCACGTCGACGACAGTAGCTTTACCGAGGCCCTCCCAATCGAACCCTTGAATAGTGTATCTTCTGTCATGGCCACCACCGTCCATGGCTTGCATAGCTTGGGCAAATAGACGAGCGCGCCAGCCTCTCTCGGGCCCTTCACCATCGTTCGCCAGCCAGTCGAACAAGCTTTTCCCTTTCCCCAGGTTCCAGGCCATGCTGAACGCAGTTTGCGTCGGATCTTGCGTATCGCCATACTTTTCCACAGCATCCGCCAAGCGTGAACTGGCAGGCAGAACCTCTCCGAGATTGTGACGAATCCAGGGTTTCAGTGTCGGATTCTTGACCGGGGCCATGGAGAGAGCTGTGTGAGCGACGTGGTCAGGGCGGGGTTCAAAGAATATGTTTTTGGTCATGGCATGTCTAAAGAGCCGCCGGAGTTGTCTTTCAGTCAGGGGGACTTTTCGTGCGAGATCCGCATAAGAGATATCGCCATCTGATGGCACCGCGTCGAAAATGCCAAATTTTGCGAAAGCATTAAGGACGGTGAGATCGTGCTTAATCTACAAGCAGTGAGATAACTGAAATGCACCTCCTCGCCATCACCGCATACCGTGTAGGCCTGCCAGTAGATATAATCCTGTGGGCCGGCGGCCAGCTGTTCAATTGCCCAAGCCGAAGTGATGAGGTTCATCCGCGCATCTTGCAGTTTGGCGAGGTCCGGATTTTCAGGGTATTTCATGGGGCTGCAGGCCAAGAAAGATGGTTGTGGGAGCTTCTGTCCTTTCAGGCTGTCCACGATGGTCTTTGCGCTGGAAGCAATAGACTCTGCTAGGCCAAGGAGGCTGCGCTGGTCGATATGTGGAGATGCCATTGCCTAACTGACCAGTGCTTCATGTGAAACTTGGGGATTACGAAGATGGAAACAGAAAACAGAAGGGTTGGGGAAGAGGCGAACTCATTATATGAACGGCATTGTTCGATGCGTGAGCCTGAAACCACGGACATCGTTCGTGTCATTACCATCACTGGCTTGCAAGCGAAAGTCCGGATTTGCCTGACTGGTCGTCCTGGTGTAGGCCATGCTTGGATTCAAAGAATTCCCGTGCCATTTGCGTAACAAGCAGTCCAGGAGCAGCTTTCTCCAACACGATTACTAGTGCCAATACCATGCTTGACTGATATTGGCAGGTGCGCATCCAGTCAGTCCCACAAAGATGAATTGCTTAGGAAACACCTCCTGACTCTCCTCGCGCGCAACGACAGCAAGTCGCGTCAGCACTTGAAAGCCGCGTCTCTTCCGGTATTGACTGACGATGAGTATCTTTCTTGGACTCGCGAGTCGGCGCAAGGTTGTGGTTGGTGGTTGCTATTTCAAAGAGTTGCTCGCCATCTCACATGAGGCGGGGAGGATTCTGTCATATCGGCAATGGAAGCCCAAGTTAAGACTCTTCAACAGACAGTTTACGAGGAAGGATGAATGTGAGGCTAGTTGGTTACATCACGGTTGAGGTTGGAGGCATAAGCCAGAATCGTACTTGAACGAGAAGCTTGTCCAGATGGAGAACTCGGTGATCCGTTTATTAGAACAATCTTGACTTGCAACGGCGAAATCCCGAGGAGGCAACAATTTAGGTGATGTCTTCGTCAACTGATTCGTGGTGTATGAGATGGTGTTGTTCCGACCAATCGGCGGTCGATGGGTTGTCTTATGAGGTTGGGGCTGAAGGCGAATGCACGGTAAAGAGGGAGTACAGTGGAAAGAAGAGCCAAGGGGGCTTGTTCGTATTGACGCAGAGAAAGAAAGCAGACCATTCCATATGGAGAATCCCCGGGCTCTGGAATGATTACGTTGTCCTCTAATGTATGGAGTCCATGTCTTAGGTACCTTCCCGCAGTACGAAGTGTCGACCAGCGGCCTTTTGATTTTGGATGTATCACCTAAAAGTACATGGACAAGGGGCATCCGAAATACAAAGGCTTCACGTTTCGACAGGTGGTGAGGCTGTTGAAATTCACCAGCTGTAACGTTCAATCTCGCCGCTTACCCTGTGACCTCATGCGGTTGAAGTGACTCTCTGGGTCGAGTGATATACATACGGTTGGACTTTCATGTACGCTAGACTGATGCGGAGATCCATGCCAGAAGGGGCATTTGTCAAGTGCCATTATGATGAAGAGTATCCCGAATCAGCAAACTCAGGAGGCAAGCCACCCCTCTGGCCTTGACGGACTCTAGACCCTTATTGTGGAGCTGCAAGGAACCCCACCCAAGGTCTGGGGTCGGCACCGGTGAGGGCCGTACTTGGCTAATACCGGGAACGCTGCTGGATCCCCAGCCTACTGGTAGACCCTCATGCCCATGGTAGGGATTTCACTTGACTTCATATGGGATTCCACTTTACTATTATTCATGCAACTCTGTTGCAAGTACCTAATCCTACGCTTCGACTCGCTTCTCTTGCCATGGTTCTAACAGACGGTCAGGCCGAGCCAAGGTCGCCCCCGGTCCTACCATGCTGTGTGAGGATGCAGTGTCTTCGCCAAGAGAGAAACAGAGTTCCCATACAGGGAGGCTTCCCTCTCCGGGTTCTCGACTCTGTATTCACTCTTCGGCTAACCATTGTACCATGTGTGAGCTGGAGCTGAACGCTGCAAAGTTTTTGCAACTCGCTTGATTGGCTATATGCAGGTTCAACTCGCCTTGTCTGGTCTTGCGCTCGGCTGAAAGCAGCGCCAAGGCTGAGACAATCACTAAGCTCGTGAAAGCTTTCTCAAGCTCGCACGGCGTAAGACTGGGCCTTCCGACGTTCATATTGTTGGTGGATGGTGAATTTGTATCGGGTAATTGCCCCGCGTATGTATGTACCTAACTTCAGCCCCCCTCATGTTCATCCCGTCGCCCAGGTGAAAAGGACGTTGAGGGAATTCGTGCTACCAGCACCACGACCACCTTCGAGGCCTGAAGCAATGGCGAAGCCGCTCATCATATACGGCGCGTCGTCCCGCCAAAAAAAGGTTTCGAAGAGAAAACAGCTGCTCCGGGTGTTTCGAGAAAACTCGAGCAAACGGAATCCCTCACTCTATCTAGCTTGTTTGTCGAACCGGAACCATTAGGTAGTTTCATCTCTTCGTATCTGCCCGCCTGTCTGAGAAGATGATATGTGTGAAGTCGCCATTTCTGCTGGCTGCTCGCCTTCCTGTCCACTGTCGTCCTCGCCACACATTTCCGGCCTCTCTACCGCATCGACCTTGCTCAGGAGTTTTCCTGCTGCAGCATGCGAAACTCCAGCCAACTCAGGGCCGATTTGCTGCACTTCAACGGCCTGGTCAGACGAGATGATTGCACATCAGGCGATACTCTTTGTCCTGGTATGACCAAAACACATTTCGTTGAGTCCAAGTTTTGCTTTCGTTGTTCTTCTGTTCGCTTTCACTGACTAGTCCGCCCAAACCCAGACGGCTGCTATGTTGGTGCAAAACGCCGTCTGCTGCGCTGGTGGAGGTGCTGTTCCTGCCGGGGATGTTTGCTGCGACGACAGCGCGGGCGGCAGCTGCGCGATCGGCCTGACCTGCGGTTTCTGCGATACCGACGGCGTTTGTTGTAGCGACGCTTCATGTACCGTGTTGGCAGACACAGACGGATCGTCCGTGACACTCGGCCCAGACGACTGCAAGGCCACAGCAGGAAACACACAGGCTTCTGTGGCAACAGTGGGGGCCAGCGGGTCGACAACTCCTGCGTCGACTCCCACGCCGACTCCGTCCGAGACTCCACCGCCGGTTCCAACCACGACTGAGACCCCACCGCCAAAGCCTTCCAGCACGAAAGCACCACCAAATCCGACTACATCGGCGGCCATCACGGTGGTCGTGACATCAACCTCTACGACGCCGGACCTATTCACCAGCACCGAGGTGGTGCCACCCCCAGAATCGACCACCGCGTCAGTCGCTCAAAGTGCTGGCGTGGGGAGAGGTGTCCAGGGCCAGGGACTTGTCGCGAGGACTACCGTCGCGCTAGTGACGGTGAGCTTGCTGCTGATGCTCGCTTAAAAGTCCTTGTCGGCGGCAGGGCAGACGGAGCCGCACTGGTCTGGTGTGAGCATCCGGTGCTTGGGGATTTTGTGACGGGCATTGAAGAAGCCAATATACCAGTACTGTCTAGTAATTGTGGAGATTGATGATGACTGCATTCTGAACCCTCCAAATATGGCACCCTTTCTTCAGTGTTCCAGAATTCAGATATCCCGCGTTGATTGGGCGCCTGTCCCGCTGCGAAGTGTGATCCTTTTAGTTGACGGACATTAATTTGAGTGCCTCTTGAGACGAGTGATCGGACGCTGAATTTCCAAAGCTTCTCAGAATGGCGGCGGTGAAATAACGGATATCAAGGGGAACCAGAGGGCGAAGGACCTTATCAAATCTTTTTCGGCGTCCCTGGCTGTGCGAGCCTGGAGGATAGTACCCTTGAGGATTTGAGGATGTAAAGTAAGCCGACGACAATGTGGCAGACTCAACACCCTCGTTTGGTCTCATGGCCTTCGGTGGAGAAGAAAGAACGTTCCGCAGAGGTAGATATCCAGCTGCAACCACAACACCTCAACGTTATGCTAGACCTCTAAAACAATCCTCTACGGTTTTCTCCTTCATAGATTATGGTTGTTAATTTTCTGTCATCGATTGACAATTCTGACATAGGTTCCAAGTAGTCCCTGTTTCAAAGGACGTGGGAAAGCTGCAGCGATCCTCGGCTTATCTCATACTTACTCGTTGTCTTTGGATAGTTGAATCCGTCGACGCTGGAGATGGAAAAAATAGAATAGCTTGCACCAATTTGACTAGCAGTAGGAGCTTATCCGACTATGAATGGAAGGTGGGGTTCCCTATGAAGAAGGTGTACTCCTCGTCATTATTTCTCCCTTGCCATCAATAGAATGGAACACGGAGGACAAAAAGGAGAGAGCGTGACCACTGCCTCCCGTGTAGTTGTTTCGCCCAGACATACTGGTAGATATGTCGGGCTCGGCTCGCTGTGCAGCCGAGCCGAGTCGGTGCATGGGGAAGTAGAACCCGATTGGTTCCAGCCTTGCTCAACGAGGTTGCGCTCCTGATGTATATCAACTGCAACATCCAACGCTTGATCATGTTCTATATTGAGATCCGGCTTTCAGGTACGTGTTTTTGAAAGTGCTGTTTTATTTTCCAATCAGGACACCGCAATTTAAAAAATGTCAGCGAAGTGCTCCAAGTTAGCACTCTATCGCGGCTGGCCCGAAAAGGGGGTCTACAGCTGGTCCCCCTTTGTGACCAAAGTCGAATTTCGGTTTCGGCACGCTGGACTGGCCTACGACGTCGATGCTGGTTCGGTCAAGGTTGCACCAAAGGGTAAAATCCCCTATGTTGATCTCGGGCCCCTTCAGGTCGATGGCGAAAAGGGGCCCTCTTTCCTGGGAGACTCAACGTTCATCATTCAGAGACTCTTGAGCATGGGTCATCTTCCGGATCTCAATGAGAGCTTGCCCAAACAACTCAGGCTGGAAGATCTTGCTCTTCGAGCTCTGCTGGAAGACAAGTTGTATTTCTACCATGTGAGTATTTTCCAACGCTTGGTATTTCCTCAGCCGGGTTTGACATCATTGATTAGATGCGCGAGCGGTGGCTCGAGAACTTCTATGTCCAAAGAGACAAGGCCCTGTGGTCGATGCCGTTTCCAGTCCGCGTGCTTGTCGGATATCTCATCTATCGAGGCATCACAAACACCTTGCACGGTCAAGGAGTCGGACGTCTGAGCGGCGAAGAAGTTCGAAGCCTGAAGACGGAGATCTGGCGGACGATCGACAACGTTCTTGAATGTAGATTGCGACATGCTTCGGGTGATCATGACCTTGTTTGGCTACTGGGAGGAGAACAGCCCACTGAAGCCGATGCAACCCTGTTTGGTTTCATAACTTCTGTGCTCGTCAGTGATAGGTGAGTGCTCTAAGTCTGTATGATTAGCAGGGAGTTTCTGATTTCGCATCCCAGCGCTCCAGAGTCAAAGAAACTTGTAAAAACCTTCTCAAGCGTCATAACATACGCAGAAAGGATACACAATCACTTGTTCCCCGATTACGAGAAATGGAGATGAATGACCTTTAGAGGGAAAGCTTGGACTCGTGCTTCGACTCACAGAGACGCCTAGAATATTATAGGATACCCACAACGGCAGTTCTTCATTTATCGACGTTGAACTCGCCACCTGAGCAATACTGTCGGTGATTAGAAGATTACCTAGCAGGCAGAGGATCCGGAAGCAGGCTGATGGAAGAAATAGGACTGTCGACTAATTCGGGGAAACATTTATCACTCAGTCGTCACACCTTCTGCTCCCTGCTCTCTTTCTTGTTTTGGCGGCCTCGAGATATCTTGAGTTGGGTCCATTGGAGTTTGGATCTTTCTCAAAATCCTGGCAGGATTTCCCGCCGCTGCGTGGAAACCAGGGATGCCCTGCCCAAGGGTTAGAAAGAAGGATCTATGCAAGAGGAGGTGGATTCTCAAGGATTGATACTTTTGTTACCACGCTTGCGGCTCCAACAGTGCAGCCTGGCCCGATCGTCACCCCTGGCAAGATAATAACATTTCGTCCCAGCCAGCAGTCTTCGCCAACATTTATCTTCTTCCCAAGCTCGGGACCATTCGTTCTGTTCTTGAGTGCCGGGTCAAGGGGATGCGTTCCTGAGGAGAAGCTGCAGTTCGGCGCGACCAAGGTACGGGCTCCAATGCGGATGGGGCAGGTGTCGACAAACGAAGAGTTCAAATTCAATTGTGCTCCTTTGCCCAGCACGATATTGAAGCCGTAGTCGGCATGGATCAGGCCGACGACGGACGGCTCCTTCTCGAAGAGCTTGTCTTCTACCAAAGATGCCTGCTGGGGTGGAAGGGAGCGAGTGTCGTTGGTGATTCTGTGAAGCTGACATAGACATTAGACCATGGCTAAGCAGTCTCTCGCTGACCTACTCTCTCCACAGTTCAATGGCTCTGCGGCGCGTTATCCAGGCTGAGGAATTTAACTTGTTACAAGCTTGCTTGCATCGATCTCGAGCGGCGATGAGTTCGGGGACAAAAGCATGATATAGCTCGCCTCGTTGGGCCCTCTGCCACTCTGGATGGTCGAGCATCTTGTGAGACGATGCCCACTGTATTTAACCTGTATTTAACGCAGAGTGACTGATGAGAGGAAGACCTTCCTTTACCTGGTAGAAGTACATGTACCGAGTACGAGGTAAACTGGCAGGCAGTCAAACAGAAACGACCCCGGAACGGAAAATCATTGATGCGATAAAGCCAGCCGGCCTTTTTTCCCCCTAGTTTCAAGCCTCTTTGAGGAGAGTCTGATGACACAATTCTGCAGACGCTTTGAGAATCTCGCAAGCCGCAAGCCGTTCTCTTGCTATTGTTCTTCCAGCCCATGCATTCCCTTTTGACACACTCATTTGTTTGGTTATTTTAAAAATGTCCTTTGTGACGGGCCTTGAAATGTGGGCTCTTTGACTGCAACAACTGTCAGATAACATCATCCCCTTAAACCAGCCATCCAGCTACTCGCAGCTACTGCAATTTGAGACCATGTCCGACTCCTCAGCGCCCAGTTCTCCGGGAATCATCCATGAATTCCCTAGGGACCGGATTCAAGAACATATCAACGGTAGTGCTCGAACAAACTTGTCACCCATGTACATCCCACCACCATACCTGCCTGGGGGCAAACGGGCACTGTCAGGGGTTTCGATTCGTGCCTTTGGGTTAGGCATTGCGTTGGGCATTTCTACGGTCCTAACATTGGAGTTGGCATACTGGGGCAATGGCCTATGGAGGGCACCGTGCTTCATTGCAACACTAGCCATTTTCCACTACCTCGAGTTCGATATGACAGCAAGATATAATCCACCGGATGCCTCGATCTCGTCCTTCCTGCTGCTGTCAAATGGCATTGGCTATGCCGCCGCCCACGCTTCTGCCACGCTTGAGTTGCTGATTCGGTATTGGCTGTATTCTGACTACGCGCCCAGATGGCTGGGGCTGCCATTTCATATCCCCAGGATCCTTCCATCGATTCCTACCTCCATCACAGTTGGACTGGGTGCCACTTTGATCGTCGTGGGACAACTTGTCAGAAGCGCCGCCATGCGACAGGCAAAGACCAATTTCAACCATGTTGTGCAATGGACGAAGAAAGCTGACCATGTCCTCGTGACGGGTGGTGTTTATGCCTTTTCAAGACACCCATCCTACTTTGGATTTTTCTGGTGGGGGCTTGGAACGCAGCTGCTGCTGGGAAATCGCATTTGCTTTGTAATATATGCTGTGGTGTTGTGGAAGTTCTTCCACCACCGAATTATTCGTGCGTTGTTGCTGCATCCGTTCTTCTCACCCTGCCTTGCTGATATTTCGATCACAGATGAAGAAAGGCATCTTGTCTCTTTTTTCGCCGAAGACTACATTGACTACCGCAAACGTGTTCCGGTCCGCATCCCCTTCATTCGATGAGTTTTCCGTCAGTCTTAAAGGACTGTAAGTGTCAATCGGTTTCAGCCGTCTCCGGGATTCTTCCGCTTGCGACCCCGGACTGCGGCATTGGACTTGGGGACTGACTCGACGGTTTGGATGTTGACGGATTGGTATATGGGCGTGGATGTTTGGTCGAGCCAGGGGACATCAACCGCGTCAACGGTTTCTCGTACACACCGCAGCAGGTTTTCAGTACCAGGTGCCCCCTCCTCGATGCCGAGCACGCCAACACGAGGCTGGTGCAGCGCTTGAGCCAGCTTCTCTTCAGCCTGTGAAGACCATTCCACCAGTCTGGCCCTAGCGACCTTGGGAGCTGAGGTTGCTATCAGCAAAGGAAGGGAGGATGTCATTACGTCCGGAAAGTTCTGGCGGCAAATAAATACCACGAAGAGATTTGCACGTGAATGTCCCAATAGGTCGGCGTCTGTGTGTTGAGATAGGAGTTGGGGCTTCCGGCCGCGGGCTAGGGATTCAAGTCTGCGCACTGTGCTATTGAATCCGACCGTGAGGTGGTCGTAGATATCGGGCATCCATTCTGGCAGAGAGTCTTCTTGTGTCTTGTTCACCTTTCCAGCTCTTCCCTTGCCCTTGGAACGGGCAACCTGGTCGCGTCTGAACTCGCCAATGGGCTGCAGCAGCCGGAGGAGGAGCTGCAGGAGTGCCTGCTCAGTGTCAGGAGAGATGGTGGGCCTGGCAGACGGATTTGTGTTAGTCGGCGGAAGCTCGCAGGATTATGTTTTGATGACAGGTAGATACCATTGTGGCTCTGGATATGGAAGTGACAAAGCGTGAACGGTTGTTGTAGTCGGAGTTTTGTTTTGTTTGTCCATGGCTAGTAGCAATCAAATCCAAACGCATCCCAACGCACGCGATGGTGGTGGAGCCAAAAAAAAAAAATCCAAGAACACGAAAGGCGCAAAGGGAGGATGACGTGTGAGAGGGCCACCAGCTGGGAAGGCCCCCTCCTTCTTTCTCACGCGCCGCCAGACGCGTTTGGTGACTTTTGGTGACTCTGGTGACGACTGACGACGGATCGCCGACCGCCAATTAGCAGGTGTGCCGGGTCCTCTTAGCCCCTACCACTTACTACCACTTCGTCTAGGACAACCTTGGTCAACGGCAGCCTGCGAGCCTGGTCCATCTCTGTCCAACGACCATCCGCCTCACAAAACCACCATCCAGACGACTCTCTCCATCGCCCATCCTCAGAACAAATTCATTCTACTTTGGTTTATCCATAGGGTTGATTCCCTTGACTCTTCCCCTACCCGTCTTTGCATACCCTTATCCCCCTATCCCCTTGTGGTGACAGTTGCCTAAGACTCACATCTGGGCCCCGCCTCACCACCACCGCACTGAAAACCCCCTTCTGTCTCTGCTGTCCGCCAACCGTCCCTACTCGACGACAGACATGGCTCCAATCGACATTCATCTATCTCCATCACTGCTGGCCGTGCAGTGAACACCCATCTGCCCTCTCTCGTTTGATGTCAAGGTGAAAATCAGGCACCGCTGTCGCCCGCCCCGTTTGCCTTGTTCCTAAGTGGCGGCCTTCTACAGCTTTTGCCAAGACCTCTCACTGCCTCATCTCAACCACTCCTTCACTCTCCAGTCAGTTTCGTATTCACCGCTCTCTGTGTCTCTCTTCCTCTCTTTTGGTTGCGGACCTACCGCTCTTGCGGGCTTCCAAATGCGACTCTCGTAACATGTCGTCCTCAATATCCGACTCTTCCATCCGCAATCGAAGCGACTCAACCGAAGGTTCTGAGCTGCCTGAGCATGAGCACAAGCGCCCAAGGCTGAGTGATACCAAGCCTGATGGGACGCATGTCATGTCGGATCTACAGCGAGACAACTCCAACCCCGCACTTTCTGTGCCAGTCGTCCTTGCAAACATCGATGAGGAAAGAGCTGTCGTCAGAACCCCTCCGTTGCCTCCCAGAACGGCAGCCCCTACAGCTCTCATCTCTCCTACCAGCAAGGTCACCATTAATACCCGCCCGTTATCATCTCAGTCGGTTACGCAACCAAATATTGAGGCCGGAGAGCCTGCCATGCCATCCAATTCCTCGCTCTCAGACGCCCCCACTGTTTGTGCGGACGCAGAGAAAGACGACAACACCGACTCTGCTCCCCAACGTCGTCCGATGGACTCGGCAGAGATTATCTCGATACCTTCCTCGCCGAGCAAGAGTCCTGAAATTGAGATTGCTGAGCCCGAAGACTTTGACCAAGATCCGAACGAGACGAAGTGGACCGGTCGCATCAGTGGCCGGAGGTCCTCTCCACCAGCCCTGAAGACAGTTCCACCAGGTTACGTAAATCGGACGTTCCCATTTTCTCAAGAATGGTCATCAGGAAACACTCATAGAGTGATTGGCCGCATATCGGAAATTTTCCAACACGCTGGTGGACAGAATGGGGCAATATTCCGTCAAGTCAAGGACTGGATGATCGAGTTTGTCACCGTCTGTGATGAGCTCACCGCGAGACTGGTTGAAGAGGAGAAGGAATTCTGGTTCCGACTCCCAGATCTCATCGAAGGCCTTCTGCGACGAGAGGCTGGCCCACCTCCCGGAGCTCGGACCGAAGACCTCGTCGACTTCTTCGTTGCCTTCGCTCAAATTGCAAAGCTTCTGATCGACCTCGACACTCGGAGACTACGCGTGTTCTCTGATGATACAGAACTGCGTGGTTTGAAGTCTTTCAGCTTGTCGTGTGCGCCTTACCTACAGCCTATGACTTGGATCCTGTCGGTGCGGATCCCCTTCTACGACGCGTTGTCTCGTGCACACAACTTCGATCGGACCCATTTCTACACCCTCGTCATCGATCGCCTCGGGAACCCATCCACAGTCTCCTTGTTGCCATCCATCTCCGCCCTCCTGTCGGAAATATGTGCAGTTTTACCCAAGCGAAGCGACTTCTTTCGACATTTCCACAATTTGCTCTCAGTGACCAACTGCATCATGGCTCCCATCTCCAACGTGTGCAATATCGAGACAAACTTTGTTTACACGGCCTTCTCACAGCTCGATCACATCCGCAACGGTGCCGCAGAAATCATTTTGCAAGCAGACAATGCCATTCAGCACGCCATCGTGAAGCAAGCTGCATGGCTCAATCTAGAGACAGCGGGAAAAATAATTGACCTCCTGAATCCAATGGTGTCTACGATTGCAGTCGAGATCCCACAGATAGGCCAGGACATTATCTCTTCGGCTGGAGTTGGCTTCGCGGACTCTGATCTCACCGATCTCCCCAGCACGATGCCGTATGCCTGGAAGTTCAAAACACTTCGGAAATTCATAACCAACGGACGGATGGAACTTCGAGTTTCTGGCGTTGACAGCATGTCCACTGAACTTGTTCAAGTATTCAAAGAGCATATTAGTGGCCACCCACAGCCTGCAACGACACATCCATTGGTACGCTTTTTGGTCAAATTCATCAAGGAGAATCAATTGGTGGACTATATCGTCGGTGTCGACTCTCACCCCCAACTGATTCGCCGAGCCCACAACGTAGTTGGTTTCCTCTGCGTCTCTGGGACTTACACGGACGTCGAGACGGACAATATCTGGAGAACGATCGTCGAGAGCCAAGACCCACGAACTGCTCATGAGGTCTTCAATCTTCTCCAAATGTGTTTTACTGTATATGACCTTCATGCACTTTACTACATCTGCCGAAAATTGGCAGACTACCCCTTTCAGCGATTTGATCCGCACGTTATGCAGTTCGCGGCGCTTCTTCTTGAAAACATCAGATCCAAGACCGGTATATCACCTCCGCATGTTCCATTTGCCACAGATCCAATAACACGGAAGTTGTGCATCCGATTGCTGCGAGAAGCCTCGATGGAGGAGAACGCGTCTCTTGAACAAGCGCCTCAGATTCGGCGGGACTTTGCTCAACACCTGACTAATGTACTAGCTCTGGGCCGAACTGAGGCTGACTTTGCCACGATTGACGAGGAAGAGCAGAATCAAATTATGTCTGAGGCTGCTGCAAACCTCCAAGCCCATACCGAGTATGCGTCTGGCGATCTTCAGGTCTTACACTGCTTATTACCAATGCTGGGACCAGATGGAGTGGCTGAAGCTACCGAAAAGTTCGACCTATTGGGACTGCTCGTTGCCGACTTTGCATACCTACGAGATCAGTTCGACCTGATGGTCGAACGCAACGTCTCCGTCAAATCAATCGAAGCTATGTATGAGGTCCGTTCTGCGTGCCTGTATTACTTCATTGTGTTTGTGCCCGAAATCTTCACAGCGGATCTAGTGCAGGCGTTGTGGACATCCTTCTATTCCTTCTCACAACTGCCTACTGCCGTGAGAGCTAGAGCATGGGAGACATTGACCCATGCAATAAGAACCAAGCAAAACAAGGATCAGAACCTCGTCTTGGACTTGATTATCGAGAAACACCTGCCAACGCTAGTTCCGCAAGACTACAATGAACAAGTACTGGAGTTCCTTAGGGTATCGATTCTGTATACAATCCGACGCACTACAGAAAGCATCCCAGACTCTGAGGATGTCATTGTGGTACCCGGAATCGAGAGAATGTGGAAAGTCATGTTGGATGCGCCTCCAAACACTGTCGAGAATCAAGCAACCGACTTCATCATCAATACATATTTGGATAACAACCTTGTCACACGACGGTCGAAAACCGTGATAGACGCAACACATGCTTCTCTCGTGGACCGATCTGTTCAACAGGTTATGGCGTCTGCAGCTAAACTCAAGTCATACACGGACGGTACCACGAGCGGCGAAGATGAGGCCATGGTGATTATTGCCTCTGAGCACGAAATACGCGCCGAAGAACTGCGTTTCGATCGGTCTTTACTGTTTCTCCGAAAATTTCTCGAAGGGATGAAATTACGGCCTCGTTACAGTCCCATTCCCGACCAACAGGTACAAGGGTTGGCGGATTTCCCAGGGAAGAAAGGCGAGGTTGTAGAGCTCAATATTCAGATCATGGCCAGTAAGTATATTACTGACAAGATGCAAAAAATCACAGTTGGATCTGAGAACACTTGCGACGAATTACACAAGTATCTTTGTGAGGCGAGTGGCTTCACTCAATTCTCAGTTTTCAACATGGGACAAAAGGTGTTGCTCGCAGGACAATCTACGACTGTTGGAGAGTCGAAGGTGGCCTCCGGCCTGCTGATTGTCCACAAAACCTTGAACACCCCCGAGAGCCCGCCAACTCGCGCCACTCGTGCCTCCTCACCCGTTGACAACAAAATTATGCATCATTTTGACGACCTCTACGAGCTACTTGATGCTGACGAACGTTTGTCACGAGAAGTGTACACGTTCCTCAGCCTCTTCTCTGCACAAACTGAACTTGTCCGAGTCGTCCGGTCAAGGGAGAGGTCACCAACGGAACTTCTGCCTCCAGGAAAACCTTTCAAGCTTTTGTACTGCGCCAGAGCTTTGCGATCTTGCATCGAGGATGAGTCGTTCAGCTCAAATCCAGACTGCCAATTTCTCATTTACAGCATTCAGACTATCGTGCAGGTCCTACCCAAATTGGAGTTGAACAACCCCTCAGATGGGCTCCAGATGTCGACTGCACACAGTCTGATGGAAGCACTTCTTCTGGCATTCAGAGCCAAGGTCCCCGCAGAAACGTCCCGCGAGTATGTCGTAGACCACCAAGAGTTCGCGGTGCAATCCTCACGGTTACTGCGCTTTGCCCTGGAGAGCTACACAACCAGTATGGATGAGATCTCATCCTCAGCCATGGTGAAACTTGTCTTGGAAACATTCATCGAAGCGTGCTTGCATGATGATCGAATTTGGACTTATGTCGATACTGAAGCCGGTTTCAAGGACTTGATCATCACTGCTTTCGTCCAAGATCCTCGAGTCGAGGTACGACATTCACTCCTCGAGGTTGTGGTCGGTTTGACTGGCGCTGTTGGAACAAAGCTATACCTGAAAATCAACAATCCAAGAGCACCACGATCTCGCTTCCCACCTGCTTCCATTGAAAGCTGCCTCTCTCATTTGTGGACCGCCTTAGCGGACATCGTGCCTCCCGCCTGTTTGCAGCCTGAGCGGTGCGCCGAAGTCTGCGAGACAATGCTTGCCATCCTAAGGAGAATAGGCAAGTCTTTTCCTGTTGAGACCCTCAATCAATATTTTGACCAGTGGATCTCCATTCTCCTGAGACATGACCACGTCGAGATTGTTGGTCAACCCCTAAGAGATCATGTGGTTGCCTGTCTCACCAAGTTGCTCCTCGAAAGTTGCAAACTGCTGAAGGTGTCAAATGCACTTCCTGCTGGCAACCAGATCATCGAGCAGATCATTACGCTGTTCCTGTTTCCACCCCTTTCTGACAATGGGGCCGGGATGGACAAGAACTCGAGATTGCCGGTCTTGGATAGTACCGTACGGGAAAACCTTTACAATCTCATTCTTGCTCTGTGTCAAGGCCCACGAGAGCTCGCGACAGTGGTCACCAAGTTGGGGGACGACCTACTACCCCCAGACTTTTTTGAACCCATTTATTCACATGATCGCCAGAATCTCCGCACAGAGGTTGGGTACGCCGGGCTACGAAATCTGTCGAACACGTGCTACCTCAACTCGTTGTTTTCCCAACTCTTCATGAACGTGCAATTCCGAGAGTTCTTCTTGAACATGCTGAGCTCGGATGAGTCGAAACAGAAACTCGTCCTGGAACTCGCAAAAGTCTTTGCATATATGCAAAATTCCTATGAAAAGTCCATTGACCCTTCGATGGCGGTTGAAGCAATCACGACGTATGAAGGCGAGCAAATTGATGTCTCGGTGCAGATGGATGTAGATGAGTTTTTCAACTTGCTCTTTGATCGCCTCGAGAGTCAGATTGATCCTTCTGCCAGGGCGGCATTCAAGTCGATGTACGGAGGGCAGTTGGTTCAGCAAGTCAAATCGAAGGAGTGCGACCATATCTCGGAGCGACTGGAGCCCTTTTCTGCTGTCCAAGTAGAGATCAAGGGAAAAGCTCGTTTAGAAGACAGCCTTCGTGCCTACGTCGAAGGAGAAGTTCTTCAGGGCGAAAACAAATATTCCTGCACATCTTGCGGGCGTCACGTGGATGCTGTCAAGCGTGCCTGCCTGAAAGACGTACCCGACAATCTGATATTCAACCTCAAGCGTTTCGATTACGACATCATGACCGGGATGCGAACAAAGGTTAACGACGAGTTCCAGTTCCCCGACACGCTCGATATTGCGCCGTATACTCTCGCAAGACTTAGTGATGAGCAACAACCGGGGGACCCAGACTACTTTCAGCTCACTGGTGTCATCGTCCACTCTGGTACAGCAGACTCTGGTCATTACTATTCGTTTATCCGCCAGCGACCGTCAGTAAAACCTGTCCACGATTCCTGGGTGCAGTTCAATGACCAAGACGTAGGTGTCTTCGACACCAACCAGATGCGTGACAACTGCTTTGGAGGCACTTCAGATACTGGCTTTTATCATCTTCCGAAGTTCTACAGCGCGTACATGCTGTTCTACCAGAGGACATTGAGCATTCGCAAGGTCGAGGAGCAGTATCGTGCGCACGATGTTATAAACCCTGTTCGCATTCCGTTGCCGCATCGACTAGAGCAACACATAGCTCAACAAAATGAGCTCTTCCTGCGGTCTTACTGCGCACAGGACGCTTCGCATGCGCAATTCGTTCAGAAGCTCCTTGAACGTATGCCGCAGGGCGTGGACAAATGCAGTGAAGATCACACGCTCGAAACGGCTGTGATCGAAATGGTTCTGGACTATGTACGTTCGGTATCGTCTCGCTTCAAAGAACAGCCATCATTCGAAGAGACCATTTGCGTCCTTCTCACTTATACACAGCAGTGCCAAGAGTGCGCAAGAACAATAGCTCACTGGTTTCAGAACAACAGAGTACTGGAAGACGTGGTCGTCCGCAGCCCGTATCAAACAGTCCGGAAGTCTTTTGCCAACCTATTCTGTGTCGTTTTTACTCGACTTCATTCGTTGAAGAACGAGATGGAGTCTGGTCAGGCATATGAGAAATTGACGGCGGAGTATGGCGCTTGGCTCCAGAACTGTCTCGGCCAGCTATCTCAATTGTGGGACGTGGTAACCAAAGCAGGTCGTTGTTGGCCGGACTATTTTGGTCTCTTGTACACCATCCAACGACTGGGTGACGAGGAAACCATCTGGATCCTGGAAGAAGAATTTCTGGAAAAATGTATCGACATAATCATGATGCACCTGAATAATCCTGCCGAGTTCCCCTTGTCCAGGAAGCTCAAGGCGCGATACACAATGTATTTGAGTGCTCGAGAAAGGAACCGGCCCTTCAACCACCCAGTGCTCATCCGCTTCTTTGTGAGCCTCCTCTTGCGAATCGACTTCCACCTGCCTGCAGAGGGAGAGTATCGCCACTATGACAAGAAGATTGGTTTGACTGGCCCGGAAATTGAACTTCTGGGGTTGAACAAAATCCCCCCCAATTTGGAATGGCTCAGGCGTTTGATAGCAGGGCGGCAAAATCCGGCAACGGTGGACAGTCTCATCGAACTGTTCTCTGCAGACCGACGACTTGCTGGTGCTCTCTCCAACCTTCTGGTGAATGGACTCAATGATCGTAGTATCAACACCGCCAGCAGCTTCCTGCGATCAGTCCTAACCTTCTGCGAGTATTGTCGCTCAGAGAATCAGATATTCGACCTCGTGCAACCCGCACTAGAAAGTATCGCAACGGTAGGCGTTGAGTATGGCCGGGAATATTTCGAGTTTGTCGACGCCTTGTTGAAGGTGGAAAATGTCCACCTAAGCTTCCCTGTTGGTTTCCTAGAGGACCTAGTACTGCAGACGGTGCACCAATGGGCACCGACGTTTTTGCTCGCGCCCAATGAAGGTCAATTCAACATCCGCCTCGGAACCGTGGACTTGCTCAGACGCATCCTGTTCAACCCTCTACAAGAGACCGGGCTTCAAGACCCCCGACTCTACTCGACACTTGTCACGGCTGTGCAGGAGTTGGCGTCTAGTTGTTCCAACTTCGTGCAGACCACCTTCTTGAATCCTCGTAGCCGAGAGAGCGGCACGCTCCAGCCCGGCCAGGTCAGCCAATTGATCGATGTGGTGGAGCATTGTCTACAATACTTCGAACTGGACAACCCGATCCAGGAGGAGAAGATGAGCGAAATCCAGAACACCATGCTCGCACTGAGAACCAAAGCTGAAACGGCGATCGAGACATTGAGCTCGGCTGATTGGCAGGACAATAGCAGTGAACTGGCCGAATTGAGCGCTGAGGATTACGAAGATCCGCTTAGCCCGTGAGATCATACGCACAAAACACTGTTGGGCATGCGATACTGCTAAGGGACTAGGAACATTGAACCAGGCGCAACTTTCGGCGTCATTGATTAGAAGAATTTCTTTCAGGTACTCTGTGCACGCAGGAAGGGCGTTGATGGATTGATCTGGGATACCGAAAGGTATATGCTTTACGAGATCCAGCGGACAGGTCCCCAATGGCGAAAGACGAAGGATAATGAGCAATGCGAGCTTCCCTGTTTGAGGAATTGGAATGGCGCAACGTGCAAAATGGTGAATGTGAACATGGGAGGCGTGGTTGCTGTGGGCTATTTCTTTGCGGTCAGTCTTTTATGGTCTTCTGTTCCGGAGATGAAAGGGGGTCTCTACAGTTCAAAACAAAACGAAGCTGATTGAATTCAGACTTCGGGCATTCTGCGAAGATGAGTCTGGCTTGGAAGCAGCAAGGGCAGGCAAGGGTCAATTGGTGTCCCCGATTCGAATGCATGGTGCTGAAACAAAGGGCCTTTTGGATCATGTCAGCTGATAGAGGATTGTGGGAGCTGGTTGAGACGCGAACGAATATGAAAAGCAAGCAACAGACCTGGTTTTTCATGCCCAGGAATCTGCGGGAATCAAAAGGGGGTTGCCCACATGAGAACGTAATCCAGCCCTTTCTTTTTCAATCCAAGACAGGCGGGAAAGGAAGGGGGGCAATCAGGAATTCGGGTTCCCTTGTTCTGTCATGACTCTAATGAGATTAAATGAATTACAACGACCAAGACAAAGAGTGTGTGTGTGAATTTTGGTATCTCGTCTGCCACCATATCACCCATATGTACTTGGGTCTGGGCATGTAAGTAACCCACTATGTAGCGCTGGCGTGGCCATGTCCATGTCCATTCCATCGTAGAAAAGAAGCCAGTCCGCCATTCTACGCGACACCTGGCGCCTCCACCCCAACGCCTCACGCTTGACACCTTGAGGCATGAAGATATACAGAGACAGACAGACAGACGGATGAGATGCAGATGTAGTAGGGTAGGTAGATGATGCAACAAGCACCAGCGCGGACAATTTGTTCTCGCACCGAACTTTTGGCAATCCAATCAAGCACAACACAACACTTCGGCCAAGTCACTTTCCCGAGAAAAGTGGCAGGAGGGACGAGGAAACAGAAAAGGTCGAGAATATAGAAGGAAGGGAAAGCCAACGAGTGCGAATGCGAAAAGTCGAGTAGATTTCCGAGTAGATGCCTTCTCCTCTGCCTCGGGGCCCCTCTTTGGGGTGGTATCCGTCCACAATGCTCGTTTCTTACAGTGTCTTGACCCTCATCCACTCGCCTGTGCCGACTCCAAGGTTCAAGCCGTTGCGCGCCCACCATTCTCGGACCTCGCCTTCGCCGCCGCCGCCTACGGCGTCCTCCATGGCCTCCTCGATGTCGCACGTCTTGTACTCGACTCTCAGGCCGGTCTTGCGACTAACGTCCTTCCACCACTGCAGGACGCCAGCGTGGCCGTTCTTCGTGGCCCCGACGAGGACCTGGTTGTCGAAAATCATCTTGCTTCCCTTGAAGCGGTGCCACATCTCCAGCACGGGGACGTGGCCGTGTTGGGATGCAAGTCGGGCGACGCCGTCTTCGTGCGCGTACGGAATGCCCGACGTTTCCCACCACTCGATCGAGTTCGTCCGACCGCTCTGCGCCGCCAACAGGATGCTCTTGCCGACTTTCAGCGGCATCTCGCGATCTGTGCCGGCCATTTTCTGGGAGTTCTCCTTCCACCATTCAAGCACCTCCACGTGCCCTTTGGCGCTGGCCGATTCCAGGGCCTTTTCCGTGTATGTGAGTTTCAAGCCCGAATTGAGCCACCAATCCAACACCTCCACGAAGCCGGCGCGGGAGGCCCCGTCCAAGGCTTCGGGTCCGTATTCCTTCTTGATCACGGCCGGACAATCCTTCCACCATTGCAAGATGGTGGGGGAATTGTAGATCAAGGATGCCTTGTGCGGGAGAAGGGCCACGCCAAAGGAGGTCCAGAAGATGTCCTTTTGATGGAGAGCCAAGTAGGTGAGCAGGTCGGTCATGGAGAAGCGGAAGATGAGTCTTGTCGCGATCAGGGACAAGGTGGTTGGAGGGTTGGAGGAGGTGTTTGTGGTGAAGTATTTTTGGACTTGGGGCACCGGTTTGGTGAGGATGGTGTATTCGAGCGAGGCAGACTTGGACGAGCCAGGCTTGGGGACAAGCGGTTCCCATTCGTGCGGCACCGGGAGGTGTGTGTAGATTCCCAGCGCGGTGGCGAGTTCCCAGTCAGCTAGGTGGTCCAGAATGATGGTCCAGATCTCGTTGGGCAGCCGGGGTTTGGAAGACGTGGTTTTGCAGAGCGGGAAGTCTGGGATCGAGGGGTTGGTCTTGAGATGAGCCGTCCGCAGAACTGACTGGGCCTCACTCTCAATTGCCTCGATCATCTCTGTGGGACCAGCCCATTGCCATCGGAATACTGGGATATGGTCTTCCTCGACAGAAATTGTGTCCGACTGCGCAGGATCCTCCAAGTAGTCGAAAATGGCAGGAGACAGAACACGGACCCAGTCCCACTTCCGCCGCAGTTCAGACAACTGCCTGTTCCAGATGGGGTGTCTGAATTGATCCCTGCTCAACTCGGGTAACAGGTCAATTCTCTTTGACACATCCCAGCACCTCAAAACATGGAGGAGGACGTCGGTAGTGAAGCCGCTCAGCATCAAGCAAATCATACCGGCATCGATGGCCAGGAACATGAAATCGGCCCATCTGGCCAGCCGATGGCCCAACATCATGACTTCATTTCGGTGCGGATCTTGGGGCTTGTTCTCTATCCACTTTACGTGGTCCAGGCTGACGCCCGAGGCCATGTGTTGCTGAAAGTCGGACTTGGAGACTTCCGAAATGACTCGGAGGTTGAGGTGAGGATGGTGGAGGAGGTAGGGGAGCAATTCGGGCCCTATTCTTTGGCTCACATAGAGCAGAGCGTTGACCCGCCGTCGAATCGGGCGGCACGGCGCTGGACGTTCCATCTTTTTAAGGGGGTCTGGTTGCGAGGTATACGCCCTCGGGGCCAACGGAAATGAGGGAGGTATCAAGAGATGTTATAAATTTGGTGTTCTGAGCATTGGTGGCGAAATTTGGTTATCGGGAGGGAGGCGGTGGGAGGGATTGGCGATAAGCGCGCGATGCGGCCGGGGAGATGCGGAAGGGTTGGCGGTAGAGGGTCTTTGAGGCGGATAAAGAGTGTTCCTGTCCGGGTTGCAGAGCTGGGGGGGGGAGGAGAGGAGGAAGAAGCAATGCTGGTGGTATTCAGGACGTGGTGGTACAATAATATGGGAATATTCAACTATGGGAAGAGGGGAAATCCAAAGAATGGCCGATCAGACGATACACACTGGGTACTACTCAAGTAATGTGTGACCGCATAATTGGAGCCATGTGGCACGCTGCGGGCCTCTTGATAGGCGGCTGTAATCTCCATGCCACTGTAGGCTGGTCTCTGGTCTTGTTCCTGTTATGTAAGTTACCCGCACGGCGCACCCTCTGCAGGCCTCGACCACTCCACCACTCCACCACCACCGTTAGCAGTAGCAGTACCATTACCATCAGCCATCAGCCATCAGCCATCAGCCATCATCCCATCCCCCATCAATAAATTGGCAAGATCCCGATCCCCTCAGCTTGATGGACGCACCAAGGCAGCATCCATCCCCTTCTCCCCGTGCCCGTGTGACTCGGTCTTCCCACTGACGCCTGCAATCGACAGCATATAAAGCGACGGCAACGCCCTCAACGCCGAGAGAATCCCGCCATCTCCACTGCCCCCAAACCATCTTGCTGCCACCGACATGCCTCTAACCGACGTAGCTTCCTTTGTGCAACACCTCCTATCATCCAAACGCATTGTTGCCTTGTTGGGGGCTGGCCTGTCTGCCTCCAGTGGTTTGCCTACGTTCCGTGGCGCTGGAGGTCTATGGCGCACCTACGATGCCACCATGCTGGCCACCCCCGAGGCCTTTGAACAAGATCCTGGTCTATCCTGGCAATTCTATTCTTACCGCCGGCACATGGCTCTCAATGCCAAACCAAACAGAGCCCACCTTGCCCTGGCAGAGTTGGCCCGTCGCAATCCCAATTTCATCACCCTCAGCCAGAACGTCGATGGTCTCAGCCCCCGCGCCGGTCACCCTGCTGCCCAACTCAAACTACTCCACGGTAATCTGTTTGATGTCAAGTGCTGGGACGAGGACGGCTGTGGTTATCGTCGCAAAAATGATTTCACCGACCCCATCGTCCCAGCTCTGGCCCTTCCTCCGGAAGCTGATGACTCGCAGCTCAAGGCCGCTATCGAGAAGAAGAAGAAAAAGAAACACGCTTTGATTCGAGGAGCTGACATCTCAGATATCGATGTGGAGATCCCCGAGCTCAAGCGCGAAGATCTTCCGCAATGTCCGTCCTGCAAGAAGAATCTGCTTCGTCCGGGAGTGGTGTGGTTCGGCGAGTCCCTGCCCCAAGACGTGATAAGCGATGTGAACGAATACTTCGAGCGGCCTGAGGAAATCGACCTCATGCTGGTGATTGGTACAAGCGCCAAAGTATACCCCGCTGCCGGTTACACGAACCTGGCCAGGGCTAAGGGTGCTCGAGTTGCTGTCATCAACATGGACCGCAGCGATGCAAGAGAGCTCACAAAGGACGATTGGTTCTTTGAGGGGGATGCAGCGGTCATTGTGCCCGAGATTCTAAAGAGCGTAATTGGGGAGATAGGAGAGTTCGAGGAAACGAATCGACCAGTGCTATGAAGCCCAGAGGTCAAGCCCGTGAGTTAGACGACGACGGTACGAGCCACGTGTAGTTCAGCATCCGATACAAAAGACAGAAACCCGCGAACAAGAAATGTTTCACCATGACATTGTGTTTAGCTGGACCAGAGCACTTGGTCCATGCAGGCAGGATATCTACAGCTTTCGGCAGCAAGCTGGCTTAGCGGTTCAAGTCCGATGTGGTCGGCGAATTGCTGTGCAACACACGAATAGGATGTCATCAAAGACAAACGCTCTATTCTAGTGTCGGCTTGGACCCAGCTGGTCTTGGCGGTCCTTTTGATGCTTTGTGGATCATCTGTGCTGATGGTGCGATTTCGAGGGCTGGGGGCCAAAATCATCCATCTCAAACGCCACACCCACCATTCTTCAATCAAAGGAGGAACCCGTCCATTCATCCCTTGGACTCTCAGAGCCCCAGGGCTGAGAACCGGCGACTCCCTTCAGTGTGCCAATCAAAGCTCGAAGGTGCCTGTCCAACATACAGATGCTTTCTTCAGGCAGCCTTCTACTTCATCTCATTCGCTCTCGCCGACCACAAGGCAACCAGCAGCCACCTTCGACTATGCTACAAGTTGGCCTAGGATATTATGGATCTAGACATGTGGTTAGCGTTTTCGCACACTGCATGCTCTACCAGGAATCCCAACTATGACTCCTGGTCATCCTAGAGCGTTGGTTGCAGGTTTGTATCTTTCAAAGCCAAGCCACGGCTCGAAAAGCAACATCTCTTCACGGGTAAGTACCATATTATCCCTTCTCGCCCTCGTGGTCGTGCTCAATCCAAGATCTGGACTGCCAGTCAGGATATCTGGCCAGAGCAGCATGAACCACCCTTGTCCATGCTGATCATCAATTTCCCACCATGGCTTCCACGAATCCTTTCTGGTCATTTGTCACTCCTCTCACCGACAACACGCCGCATGCGCTCTCTGGGCGTCTGAGCGACATCCTAACTCACGGCGACCGCATACGGGTGCCTTCTAACGACGATGCTCGAAGCTATACACAAACGACACCCGACTCAGCTTGGTCACAGGCGTCATTCCAGGACGTTGCCTTCACCTTCGATACATCCCAGGGGAAGAATGTGGCAGCCTTGAAAGACGCCGCATCCATCCGGTCCGACGATTGGCCCTTGACCGAAAAGTACTATTCCGTCTCTTCTGCACCCCATGATCTGAGATGTCCAAAATGGACGCTCTGGAAGACCATCCTCCTCCCCACCTCGGCTATCATCCTTCCTATGGCCTTCCTTGTTGCTGGCCTACTAGCGTTGATCTTCGGCTACAGAGTCAGATCTGAGGACAGCTTATTTGCCCAAGTGTCGAACTCCCACGTCTTGAGTGACCATGCCGTTGTACTAGTCGATTATTCAGCAACCCGGATCGCATTTGTCGCTTCGTGGGCGTCGACTCTGGCACCTCTTCTTGCTGGCTTCATCATGAACCTGTCAAGTTTCCAGTCTGCACTCCTCATGTACCTCTCCTCGACCCGTTCTGAACAACAAGACCTCCCAACTCCCTATCAATACAGTCTGCTCGTCGGCCTTTGCTTGGCCTCAATGGGCAGACTGAGGAGATACTTCTCGTACGCGAAAGAAGATGGGATAATCATCCCTCCAGCCCTTCGGCGAGCTGCACGGACTTTGACATTAACATTTGTCCTTGCTTGTGTTGTCTTTGGCGCTGATACTGCTCTTCACTACACAACTTCAACCATCAACTTCGACCGTATCTCGGTCTCGTCCGAAGCTCATGCTTATGGGTACGGGTTATCGTCAGCATGTCTCGCCCTCAACCGCAGCGACAACTTTGGCCTGCCATGCTCCCGTAATGGGATTCTCGCCGGGACGGATTACAATGCCTACGTTTCAGGCCAGAATGAGATCTTTTATCTTCAACACGGCACATCCAACGTCAGCGAAGTTCGTCTCGTCGACACGCCATCATACGAGTCGTCCAACGTCACATCCTCAGGGGCTGCAAAGGTTGCCCTTCTCATCCCCCAAAGCACAGATTTGTCTCCCTTCCGTGACTTCCAGGCCTATTCTACCGGCGTAATCACGACCTGCGAACCCATTAGCGCCCTCTGCAACTGGACCAGCGGCGGTCCAGGGGATTACTACAGCCAATTCAACTGCAGCGAGAATTTTTGGGGGGTGCTAGGAAAAGCCCCCAATGTGAGCGACACAGGCATGCTCATCGATGACAGCTCGGTGCCACCATTGGGATTCAAACGTGGCGCAGCCTTACAATACGCATTTTTCATGGACAAGGGACTGAGCATCCCCTACGACACAGCCGGGGATCTTGGCCCCTTTATGCAGGACTCGGATCTTATCAACCCAGTATATGTAGGAGTTGCTGCACGTTTTCAAGACACAGCCCAGCGCGCGGGGGTGAACATGTCTTCAGATCCAGGGGTCTACCAAGGCCCTACGCCGTACATTGACTTCACACTGCGATGCCAGTACACCACGTACCTGGTCAACTACAACTGGGTCAACTCTTCGGCTCAAGTAAACACGCTGACTCCTTCTCCGAACGGTACGATTGCGGAGATCTTCCATGGATACAACATTTACGGCAGTTATGACAGCTTCGACAACGACCTCCAGGACTTCATCCTCGAGGCAGCGCTACAATCCAACCCGCAACAGCTTGCCGATGTTTTCGCAAACAGCTATTCATCGCGCGTGATGAACGTGATTGGCCCATTCCTCTCGTCCCGCACCAACCTGCAAGAACAAACGCGCACTCCATTGCTCGTGGCGAAAGTCCCGAAGGTGCCACTGGCAATCCTCGTTGCAGGGTGTCTGTGTTATGTCGTCTTCGGCGTGGTAAGTGCGGTATTGGCATATATCGCTTTGAGGACGGTGGATGTACGAGATCTGGCGCTTCGATTCAGCCTGCCAGCGCTGGGCCTGCACGCTTTTCGAGACGATAATACAGAGAGGGAAGCCGTAGATATTGACAAGATTGGCAAAAGGGGCGGCGGGTTCGAAGAGGAGCGTAGGGTATTCAACGAGACGAGAATAAAGGGAGAATCGATGAGGGTCGCGGTCGAGGGCGAGCCAAGGACCGGATTCATGTTGAAGAGCCTCGTGTGACCCCAGCCCTCAGCATGCCTGGCGCTTCCTTTGCGAGGCAAGGCATGACATTCACACATAGACGGGCCAGAGATCTTGCGGGCAAGCCTCTCTCGGCCCTTTGAGTCTTGTGTTGTGACAAGAGACATGAAGCGGCGGATCCTGTGCATGACCTCTCTTAGATTTTAGAATTCCGATTGGTTTTTGCGAAACCCATGTGTTTTCAATTGTGTGTTTGTATAGATAGGTGCTCCGTATTAGATGAAAGATGAAAGAGGAGAATAGTAGTGGTACCTCGGGAATTCATAACTCTTCCATCCACCCCTTTCCCCATGTTTGATTTCTCCCACGTATGTGACCAGCCAGCCAGCCAGCCAGCCAGTTAGGTAGGTAGGTAGGTCTCTCGACTTCCGCTTCCATTCATTCATTCATTCATTCATCCATTCATTCTTTGGTCCATAGTCCGGTCACCTAATCGTGGCCTCGCAAACTGAGTCATTTGTTGCAATTATCGGTTACATTAATGCCTGTGAGCACTGGGAGGCCTTCTTCCAGGGGAGTCAGGAAGTCCTTGTTCACGTTCACTGCTCCGACCCCGGCTCCAGCCCCGACTCCAATCCTGTTCATGAAGCCCATCCCGAGCAAGATCTGCTCCTCTTCCAGCAAGCGCGATCCGTCAACGACTACGAACGTCTGGGCCAGCCCCTGCTTTGCGTCCTTGGGCCCGAGTGCGACGCCGAGCGTGATCTCGAACGTCTTGGCGTCCTCGCTGTACGTGATCTCACTGACCCTCTCCAGCCCGCGCACGAGGTTCATGGTGATGAAGCTGTCAAAGACCGTGAGGTTGATGGCCGCGAGCACCGAGACGGGGTCCCCGGACGCAGTCTCGGTGACCATCGCGAGGACGTCGTGCACCTTCTTGGGCACCTCGGCAACGCGGGAATCGGAGCCCGGCGTGGTGCAGCAGATGGCTTGGATATATGCCGGGCAGGTTGGGGCGCAGTAACACGGGCAACCTAGTGGGCGATTTGGGTGGCCCCAGAAGAGGTCCTTAGGGCGGAGGATCTGGTCGAGGAGAGTCTCCTGCGTGGCGTCGTAGACGACGCCACTTCGCTGACGGTCCGCAGCAACTTCTGGTTCGTCTGGCGACATGGAGGCCGGTGTGAAGCAGCAGATAATTTGGACGTTTCTAGGGCACCAGGACTCGCAATGGCAAGGGCAGCCAAGTGGTGGAAGAGGAAGGGGCCGTCCGATACCGGGAATCAATGGGCGGGAGATGATTCCATCTGGGGAGCCCTTGGCCCTTTCACTGGTCGTCTGTGATCGGTCGAGTGCACAGCATCTGGGGTTACAGCCAGGCGCACAAGTCAGACACCTCGGCGAGCAGTCCGCATTGACTGGGGTGTAACTGTCGACGATGTCGTGCCACTTGAACCCGTCGTCGAACTTGTCTCTCCAGTTGAAGTTATCTGCCACCAACAATCGTCAATGGCAAGGCTGCCAGCGAAGGGACCTGGTAGAGTTGACTTACCAAGAAGACCCTTGTACTTCCGGACTTTGGCTGGATCGATGGCTGACTCCCCAGCCGCATTGGGCACAACGTGCTGCGAAGAGTTGCCAGCATCACTAGCAGCGAGGACAGACCCTAGGAGAAGGAAGCCCGTCGCAATGGTCGTTAGAAATTTTATCAGCGCCATGACGAGTCGCGGACTCTTCGTTTGCTGGAGGAGTACTAGTATTAAAGGGATTCAAACCAGGAGGAGAAAAGATCGCTAGGAAAAGGCGACGGCCTTATCGTCTTTATACGATGCAGAATGCTTTACCATCTCCTGAACTGCCTGCAAAAAGGCAACAACAGGTCGATGACGGCGTAGTGTGGTTTCTGAAAGCTTCGAAAAAGGGCTGGAACGCCTCGTGATGCTCCCAGCGGCATTCCAGCACCCATAGGGCTGCATGGATCTCCCACCTGGGAGTAGTGAGCACTGACCTGAAATGGCCCCTGGGCGGAAGTCGACGCCAATGGCTTGGAGTTGGGGGCCGGACAAGTCTTTTGCACCCAGTGCCTAATGAAGCGTTATCATTGCGAGCTGACCAACCAGAAACATATGTACATTGTAAGACTGCCGTAAGGCCCCCAGCCACCCAGGAGACATTGTTTGCAGAGCGAATGGACCGGCGAAAACCGAGCGCCACTAGACATGGACGCAAGGCATGTGAAACGAGACGCACTTTTTCTCCTATTCCTCGCAAGGATTTAAGCCGAGTTTGAGGAGGTGTGCCAAGGCGAGGAACGGCCTAGCCAACGGCGTGCAGTTTTGATCAAGGAGACGCAGCTGGTCAGCGACGCGACGAGATGGTGGCCGCAGTCATCAGGGGTAAAGTTGGCCGCTAATGGTAGTCGGTGATGGCTGCCGTCGACATGTCGGAGGCTCGAATCCATCAACAGAGCACATGGCTGTGCCTGATCGAGCTTGTTCTTTTGGTTCTGCTGCCAGTGAACCTCAAGTTCGCACATACACCCCGTATCAAGACGCGAGGTCAGGATCCGTCTGAGAAAATGTTGACGGGGTATTCCACGGTACATGATCAAGAAGGAGGCGTGCAGAGGACTGGACGAGATACCTCGTAGGGAGGAGATTGAGAGGGCAGCCTTCGTCAAAGAGTTGTCGATGCTTGCGGCGCAACAGTGGCAGTGGGCGAGTACCGAGTAGCATTGGCAGTGTTACCCAGTCGGCGATGCAAAGAGCACCGTTGACTTTGAAGCACCACAACCACAGACTGCAGGGCGCCGAAGCACCAATTCGTCTAGACAGCATCGGTCAAATTGTCTGACTACACGTTGATCACAGCTACGACATGCGGGAAGCGAACTCCAATAAGCTTCATTGATTGACAATGCGTGCGAAGATCAAGGAAGATCTATTGGATCTATATATCAACAAGCGCAAGTAACACGTACATATTAGGAGAGAGCTCGAATAATCTGCTGGATTGGGTACTATGACAAGAAGAGCTCTCTCCGAAATAGGTATAGCCAGACCTAGCTCTGTCCAGCCTCGTGCCCCAACGTCTCATGTGGCGATACTCAGATATTTGCGAGACTGCAATATGGCCAGCCTAGGCTAATGACTTTGCCAGCGGGCGAGGTCGCCGACGATGTCGTTGTCCTTGAGGCACCTCAGCAAAAGACTCTCTTCCGAGATAGGTACTTGCCTAAAAAAGCTTAGCCTTTTATCCGAAAAAGGCTAAGCGTCGAATTCGATTCCGAATCGAATCCTTGTGCCGCCCAGACTCGGGGCCTCAGGTGCCCCGGGACCCGCTTCGTTAGCAGTCGAGGTTTGGCAACCTGCCGCCTAACTACCTGGGTAATATTCTTCCTCGTTCGTCCTAGAGCCACGGAGGACTGGCACTAGGGTTGAACGCAATCCCCAAGATGAGACAAATATTGGTTTAGGATGCTCACGTGAAGCTACTAGTAGTTCGGCGGTCCTACAGGAGGTGGTTAGCGTGGACGTGGCCAAATCTCTACAAGTACATGGATACGAGTCCCGGACAATCTATTGCACTTTTACTGGCGCGACCCGGTAGAGAGATAAGAGCGATGAGCAATGAGCCGGGAAAGCTCCCTGAATCTTTGAGGCTCGAATGGAAAAGTGTAGCACAATGGGCAATCAATTGCTAATCAGGCTTCGAGTTCTGGAATTGGTGACCGGCAGATACTCCAGCGGATGTCCCCCAAAGGGCTTTGGACCGAATGCAACCACAATGTATGTACTGCGGCCTTCTGTGACCAGCATGCGCCCATCTTCCCTCATGCGCCTTTTCTGGATTATTGCTGCGGTGCAAAACAACAGAAAGATATCAAAGCAAGACAGACCACATAGCCTCCCCAGCTAGAATAACGCAAATCACGGTCATGTGTCCTGTAACAGTCCTGGGTATTTTTGAGTCGTAGAGTCGCGAATCCCGCGACGAGCGGCATAAATGGTGATGATAACGTCGAAAAGATGAAAGACAACCATGAGATCCCCAACGTACAAGTCTAGCAGACCGTTGCCGCCCGTCGGTAGCGGTCTCTGGGGAGCCGCAAACTTTTGCCATTCCGTAACCTGTCTTCCGAGTAAAATCGTTTTGCAATAGGAAGGTCTTCAACTTCTTCGATAGACTTTAGAGGAAAGGTGGCTTTTGACTTCGGTGGGGTATGGTGCGTGCCCAGCAGAAAACAACAGAGGAGAATGACCATCCCTGACGCAGCAATCCCTAATTGCTTGCAATAGACGTTGAATCCAGATTTCCATATCATCGCTCGAGATTGGTGGCTTAGGTGCTGCAAACAAGCGATGATTTTGTCGTGGTATTCGGCGACTAAGGATATGAGACTTTCGAGGAATACTGGAAATTGGTTAGCCCTTTGTTTGGGTATAGCAACGGGAAACACACCGTAGAAAGCCATCAGTATATATGAATACTTTCTTGGCTTCCAGAAAGACGCTAGTAATGCCGGCATCGCAAAGAGGCCCAGTAACCTTAAATGAAGATGCTCCGCCATCTGGCATGGTATAGTGATGACGGCGAAAAGTGAGCTGAGAATAGCAGACGCCGCTTCAACACGCGTCAACACTTGATTGACTCTGTCAAGTTTGGAGGACACTCGTCCGGCGGTAGCACTTGCAGTGTCGAGTTCGGACGCAAGAGACGCAGAGACATGTTTCATCCGTTCGCCCAAAGCAAGATTAGCCCTATAGGCTGCAGACAGTTCTTCGCTGAGTTGCAGATGATGCCCTACGCGCGCTAATTGCGTCGACTGAGCACCAGAGATCTCATCAAGACTGTTCCTAACACGATAAAGAAGCTCACCGACATCCTATCCCTGTCAGTCCATGTTCAACCCCAAATGGTATACACAAACCTGGACCACTGCATCGGCCTGTATGTTCTTCAGAGCTCTTGTAGTAGCAAGGGCAAGCTCACGAACGTTGTTCATCTCCTGTTCTTGGGCTGCAGCCACCTCAGCGGATTGCTTGCCAGTGGTTGTGATTGCCTCGCGCAGCAGATCTCGCAGTTTGGCCGAATCAGCAAGTATGTGTCCAAGAGCCTGTCAGGGATGGATCAGTGACCCATCCGATAGCCCTTGTAGGACGCCACTTACCTCACTGGTATGGGTCACATGCGCGTCTGTGCCAGCCATAGCTCCCTTTAGAGTCTGAAATGCGTCATGTAAGCCCTCTTTAGCCCTATTCATCGCGTCACGGAAGGTGTTAAGCTCATGTCTATGCTGTGCTTGACGTTCGTCCTGATTTTCCTGCAGAAGCTTGCTCACATGCCGCATCTCATGCTGCTGCTCTTTCAGGAAAGTCAACCACTGAGACCGAGTGGATCCGAACGCATCACGAAACTCTGGAAGGAGTTGCGCCAGCTTTTGATAGGACCGAAGTGCTTCCAATCTGGTGGACTCGATGGTGGTGGCTTGACACAGAGTGTTGGCATCCTGTCTGTTGTTGCTGTAGCTCGTCCAGTAATAATGTTCCGCAATCAACGCTTCGAGACAAGAAGCCAAAACTTTGCTGTTGACCACATCAATTTCGTGATCAAGTCGCTGAGGGATGTCGAGTATAGGCTTGCAAGGGGAGGGAACTGCTGCTCTGCCCTCCCCAGTCTCGCAGACAGCCACTCTGACAGCGTAGACTGACTGGGCTCTCTCTAGTAGTTCATGTTTCCCTTGTTCCCGGCTGAGGCTTGTGCCAGCAGTTTTACAAGTAATCAGCAACTGAGCCGCGGCTGCTTGATGGCAGGTGGATTGGCTGGCGAGGTTATTGACCACGTGTATAGCCTTCTCAAATGTCGGGTCATTGTCAGGCTCTCTGAACGCCAGCAGATCGGTGAGGCTTGGTTGAAGGTCGTCTTGGAACTTCCGAAAGCCAGGCCATTTCAGATCCGCTGGAGGCGTTAGAGCCAGACGGCAGCTTCTGCTCGAAGAAGGGTCTTCTCACCTTTCAGAAACTTTGCTTGGGCATGAGCGGCAAAAATGACAGCCACGGTAACCAAGACCTGAACAACCGAGGGCACTCGAGATCGCGGCGACGAGGACATGGTCGCATACATCATAACAGTGTGAGGCGCCCCTTCCGAGCGGCGAAGCAAATGACAAAGCGAGGTGCGGACAAAGGAGAAGACCGAAACGGCAAAGCAACAGACAACGAGAGGAAAAGCGCGTCGACAGCTGCAGAGATCTCACGCCGAGCCCACAGATCCGCGCCGGGAATCACAGGTAGCATATGCCTAGTATCATTCGTAGGTGTGTGGTGTGTGGTGTGTGGTGGATGGTTGATGGCGGACGGTGAATGTGAAGTCAATGTGAAATCTGGCGACCGTGTCAAGCTGAGCTCACCTTTTCGAATTCCGCTGGTCACAGGCAGAATCTGAACTGTAACTACATGCCTCACGATGACGGCCTGAGGGTCTCGAGTTCATTAACGGGTGGTTTAAGATGTTGTTCAGTTCAGACGGAGTGGTGAGGTGAGTGATGAGGAAATGGGTAATGAACAGCGCAACAGCTCACTGTTGATTTTCTCTCCCACTTTGCACGTCTTCTCCACCTTGCACTGACAGACTTGAATGCTCTCGGATATTGATCCCATCCGTCCAACCCTCTCTTGAGATGCCGACAACTGCTTCCAATCAAATGCCGTCGACATTAATAAGCATGCCTTAAGCACGTCTCCTGGGTGGCTCCCGGGAGGCTGTTCAATGGTCCATGGATCGAGACTTGTGCAGGTGCCCCTCTGCTGCCAATGCCGCCCCTCGTGCCACCAACCAATTGCCCCCAAGTGGCACACCAGCGCAATTGACGCCAGTCATATTACAGGGCGTCCTCCCAAATAGCCCCTCCGTTGGCCTATAAATGAAGTCGTCTGGCCCTATAGCCCGTAAGGTTGGGCATGGCGCGGCCAACACCCCCCCAAAAAGGACGGGATTCCATTCTGATCCCTCCAGTGACAACGTGGGATGGAAACAATCCGAGCTTGGGACCTAGTTTCTCGCCTGATCCTGCCTTTGAAATCGACCAAGATACTCTGCCCCCAGAAACAAGCATTTCCGTGGCTTATGCAGGACGCCGACAAGCAGCTCTGAAGCCCGAAGACGTAACAAAAAAATCGCCATGGTCTTGGACCCGCCTCAACGTTATTTTTATGCCCTGGTCCATGTTTACCACACCTCGTATCAACTCCTCTTCCGAGTTGAGTGAAGTATGTGAGGGGAAATACTGATCTGTCGAAAGCGAGCGCTTCAAAGATGGCCGAATGGTTTATCTACATGGTAACCCCCCATTTGGAACGAGACCTGAAGTGATCCGAGTGGTTTTTTCCAGGGCGACAACTTCATGATAAAGTGAGCTACCAGGGTTCCGCCAAATCCAGCACGCGATCGTACCCAGTCTTCTGCAACATAAAGCGTCTGCAAACAGGACCACTCCTTGGAAAGGGAAGGGCGATGAATCGAGAGAGAGATGTCGCTCTTGTTGATCGGTCCAACTCCTGCAAAGATGCCTCACCCCCAAGGGAGTCAGATTCTGATGATGGATCACAGCACATGGTTAATCGGATTAGGACCATGACCAAATCGAGTCTCCGAATCCTCGAAACAGAAATCAACTCAGCGAGGGGCTCTGCTCGGACACTGCTCAAGGTGAAGCCCGCCAATTTTTATGCTTTGCCGCTGGATGCAACAATGGTGGAGGATGACCCCAATCCTTTGGCAGCAATCCAATTCTGTCAGTATCCAAAAACCCAGGAGGCAAAATCCTCATACTGAACAAATCCAACAGTCGTTGAGGTGTACTGTCCGCCCATGTTGCGTTATCCAACGTTCAGGCTGCAGGGCAGAGATTCTGCCTTCCTCGATATCAACCTTCCAGCAATGATGCAAGACCCGTTGATCACGGCCACCTCTCTCGCATTCGCTCTTCGAATGCACGACAAACGTCTGAGCCGGAAGGTGTTGGGTTACTACCGCAGGGGCCTTGTTCTCCTTCGGAAAAGACTCGAATCCAATGACCCCACCTCTAGTAACGCTATACTGTTGAGTCTTATTTATTTGATGGCTGTTGAGGTTGGTTTACTGTTCGTGATCACCATGTTTGGGACTAAGTCCTGACAGTCACTATCTGAAGGCTTGGGATCTCCTCTCCAGCACCTTGGAGCCATGCGTCGTATGATACAAATTCGAGGTGAGCTCAGAGATTCAGGCTTACAAGGCTATATCAAGGCCCATATCAGATCGTAAGCCATAATTCTCTGCAGAATTCACGCAAATCTGACATCTACAGCTGGGAAATGTTCCTCGGCGGAGTGTATGCGGAACCTGACCCAGATCAGGTGCGAATGTTTCCTTATGGCTCACTTGACTATCCCACCCATCCATTCGATCCGGAACTGAGCCTCATCTTAAGTCGTCTGCCTTTAGGCTTTATCGAATTGGCTATGTCTTGCAGACTAAGCATTCAAGTGATACGAGTGGTGCAGGCCGGTGCACAACTCATGTCCAATCTCTTCCATCAGGAGCAAAATCTTGAGCACGACGACAGAGTGCATTTTCCACATTCCCCGCCATCGTATTCCGTATCACCTGCTCAAGTTATGTTTCTGGCCATCGCCATTCTACAAAATCAAGATCGCAACATGGTCGAGGAGGTGCTCGCAATTTCATTGCTGGCATTAGCAATATCGACTGAGGCTTTGGGGGAACACATGACAACCGGCTATGGATTCATCCAAACTTACTGCATGGGAATCTGGGACGTCAACATTGAGCGAGAATGTCGCAGTACTGGAGCGCTGGGACTTGGAGATTTTCTTCTCTGGACCAAAATGTTACTATTGGCAACATTCGACCACGACACACAGACCCGAAGGACTGCCGTCCAACTGCGACAGGATATCCCATTTCCGGAGTTCAAGCCCTCGCATTTTGAGGTCTGCAGGCAGTTCTTCTGGACGGAGTTGTCGTCTCTGTCGCTGGAGCTGAAGATGGCGCAAGACAGGGCACTCCGCAAACCACGGCGTTCCGACGAGCGAACGAGTCCTCGAACCGATTGACAGCAGACATGATTGGGAAAGCGGGTCCTGCTAGGACTGACATCATGTTGCTCGATGAAAAACAAGAACCTAATGCCTTTCACCCAGAGTCTCAGGCTGCTGGGCATCATGAAACCTTGTGTTTGCAATGGACAAGGGACAAGCAGCGGCGCCTTGATTGCTGATGGTATGTCACACATCTCTTCCGCTCTTTCCGCAGACACGCCTGGCACGTGAGGGCTGGAGGCTTTGTATTCTTGCTGCCTCAGGCGCAGAAACACCTGGGATCATTTCGGCATGATCAACTGATTGGACGCCTGGGATCAGCCCAGAGCAGAGCATCTGATCTCGCTGTTCGATCCAATCATTTAACAATTCGCAAGGAGGCACCAATTGTGGACATGAGAGAAGAGAGAACATGGAACAGACTGCAGGTTCCAAAGGATAGAAGTAGGTTACATTCTGGATGTGACAAATGGTCAAAGTTTTCAATCTGGTCAAAGTTTTATGCGGCCTTTTCGTGTACCCCACTGTGCCCACTGTACCGCGCAGCCTCGTCGGTTGCAAGGCTGTTCCGTAAGGCAAAGTTCTGGTCCGCGCTAGAGTTAGGGTTCGCTTAGGTCAAAGATTGGTCACACACCAACACTTTCTCCGCTTGACTTTGTTGTGATACTGGAACATGGCATGGGCCCAATGGAGCCTCCCAACTTTCCAGGAGAAATTTTGCATCCAAGGTTCAGTGACTGTAGAAGATCAACCCAGAGGAGTCCCGTAGACAATATATAAAGGGTGCCTTCCACGCCCACCCCAGGTAGACCTCCCCATACCACATTACGTTCTGCATCAGTTTACTTGACAAGAGCCCTCCAACGACCCTCCAACGACATCACTTTGAAACACCATTTACTTTACTACAAGCCACCAAAGACATCACCATGGGTTGTATGTTCTCGAAGAAGGTCCGCAAGGAGGCTGAGGAGGAGTGGCTCCCTCCTCCCATCGTCTTCCCAACCCCGCCCATTCGAGTGCGCCCCCCATTCGAGCCTTTGCCAATCCGGCTCCCCGAGATTGGCCCCAACGGTGAGCCGCCGCTCCGGGCGATCCCTGTGCCGGCGTGGCGCAGGCGGCCGGCAGACCAGTGCCTCTATCACTTGAGGTACGAGCTTGGCTCCGACGACTCCCTGGTCTGCGAATGCCACGCGTAAGTACATGGTCCCTTGGCGTTCTCCCTCCGCCAAAAACAGCAAGATGCTTACATAATGCTTGGCAGAGCCCGCCGAACTGCAATGCCGCGCAACCCAAGATACCCTGGGCTTCTTTGGGGAACCTGAACTTGCTCGCCCAAGACTCGCCGGCTGCACGTCTCTTTCTTCTCGGTTCTCGCTCTCGGTTTTCTCTCCTGGCTCTCTCCCCTAGGTTCTCTCTCTCGGTCGCAGCATCACGACCACCTTCATCATGGATGAAGCCAAGACTCTCATCCGAACGGCTGTGCGCACTTTCTTCCCTCATCCTAAACAGATCATCATTGTCGACGCTATCCTCATGCACTCAGTTCTGCAAATGGACGACCTGAACATTCTCCTCAATTCTCAGCCTAAAGATATCAGAAGCCTACTGAACCCTCTCCGCACCGCACGCCTCGTCCAAACACAATCCCGCAATGAAGCCAAGATAGGCTCTACAAGACCCTCTTCAAGAGAATACTACTATTGTCCCTTTCACCCGGCAATAGATGCAATCAAATACAAAATCGCAAAACTCCGCAAGAAAGTGGAGGCGATGTATCAACAAGATGAGACCAAACGCAAAGACTGGCGCTGTCCCCGCTGCAAAGCGGAATATGAAGAACTTGACATACTCGACAAAGTCGGAGACGAAGGCTTCTACTGCGACAGATGCCATGCGACACTGGTCCAAAATGAACAAGCTGCACAGAAAGACCGCGGCAATCACGAAAAAATCAGAAAGCTGAATGATCAGCTCAAGAAGTTTGACGACATGATCCTCAAGATCGATCGCACAGACATTCCCGAAAACGACTTCGCCTCAGCATGGGACCGAAAGAAAGACGTCCCCCGACAGCAGGGAAGTGGTAAAACAGACAACTCGGAACAGTATGTTCCTCTACAGAGAGGCAACAGATACTACGACTACAAGAGAAGCGGCCCAGAGATGGTCGACGTCAAAAACCTCACCGTCAACTTGACTAGTGGTGAGGAACAGGAGCGTGAGGAAGCAGAGCGCAAAGAAGAGCGCAGGAAATTTCTCGCCAAGCAGAATCAACTGCCAGTGTGGTATACAAGCAGTGCAATCGGGGCTACCACCAATGGAACCGCCACGGCTGCTACCACTCCAGATGAAGACGACACAGCAGAAGCTGAAGCTGAAGCAGAAGACGACTTTGAAGACGTCATGGATGTCAAACCAAGCAATGGCATCAAAAGAGAATATGAAGTCGCATTTGAAGGCGACTCAGAGGAAGATGAAGAGTTCGAAGATGCAGTTTAAGCAACACAATCTGCACCAGGAACAGGACCAACGCAAACTGCAACAACAACGACAACCACGCAAACTGCAGTGTAGTGATGACTTGATGACTTGATGACCTGGATCACTGGGTATTTTTACGACTCGGCAACAAAGCAAAAGCATCATTACATATTGTTATGGGGTGTGTGGAAAGAGACAGACATTCTTATGGTATCATTACGACTATTGTTATGGGGTGTGGGAAAGAGACATTCTTAAAGGCAGGCAACAAACCGCATCATTATCAAGGCAACCCAAGGCATTCTTATCATGGCAAGCAAGCAATTCTCATGAGCGTTCAGATCATCGTTGGCGTTGGTTGGCGTTGGCAAAGACATGGGGGGGGTTCTTTTTCTCATTGAACATTGGGTTACGGGTATCATTAAGGAATTTCATGATCACGATCATGACAAAGAGCATCGTTAGGAAAGGCATCCAGTTGTATCAATACAGTATTTACTCAACAAACTCTTCTGTTCCGTAATCATTTCCTGTTTTATTTCCTCTTTTCATTCCTCTTTCATTCTCTTTTTCATCTCCTCTCCTCTCCCCTTCCCCTCCCCTTTTGTTCACTGTTGTCACCGTCCAAAAAACAGGCCCAGTATCCACCCACCGATCCACCACACCAGCAGGCCCCCCACGACGATGATGCCCGCGACCTTCAAGACGGCGACTTTGTCGCCCTGCCGCGCCATGCGTGTCAAGCGGCCCGCGCTGCCGCGGATGTTTGTGCTCATGCTGCTGAAGACCTCGTTGGTGTTGTCCAGCGTGCCCTGGCTGCGCGCATTGTCATAGATGTCCAGCGTGATGTGTTTCAGGGCCGAGGTCTTTTGCGACAGCGACGAGAGGAGCGCGTTATTTTGTCTATTTTGGGCCGCGGGTCAGCCTGGGCATTCACTCATTGCCTGGGTCGGTAATGTAGCCCTTGGGATAGGACTTGGATTTGTTCGAGAGCGTGGAGCGGAAGCGGAATGGAGACGAAGACAGTAGGGAGAGGAGGCCAAGTGGCACGGGGGACGTAGGAGGGAGACTTACTCTTCGCGCGCGTATGCGTCTGCCATTGCGCCGGACTTGTGAAGTGGAGATTTGAGACTTGCAACTGCGACTGCGGCTCAGGACCGAACTGCTCGTGATGCCTCCCTTGCTTGGACCTTTCGACGCCACGCGGACGAGTTGTGTCAAGTCGGGAAATTCGCTCAGATCAATCGCGAACGTTGCGAAGAAATCCCGGAGGAAAGACGGGAGACAACACAGTGGCCGGGTTCAGGTTTGTACTACTGTACAGATCCTCTTGCGATCTTCTTCTTCTTCTGCCTACTCTTCTTATTCTTCTTCACCTCCTAGTCGTTGTCGTCTCTGTGGTGCGCGGACCGGGAACTTCTTACGGTACGGGCGCGTTACGTCGTGGTCGGCTGCGGCGGAGAACAGGCCGGTTGTTTGGAAAAACAGTAGAGATTGTGTGAACGCTGAAGAGAATGAGATTCGGGAAGGGAGCGTGAGTGCAATGGCGAGTCCTTGCAGTTAGATGAGGGAGGAAGATGCCGCTCCGGGGTTCCGCCCCCTCCGCAAGGCAGAGGATCTTAGCTACAAGTTACTCGGTACAACAGTGTCCGTCTCAGCCTTGTCCTGTATCCGTCCTTCCCACAAACGGGTGAAAGCATGACCATGGGCGAATATTACTTGGATTGGTTCTGACTTCTTGGGATACAGGAGATGTATATACTTGCTAGGGCCTTGCAGGCATTTCATATATCAACCACTGAGTGCCGGTGCATCTACACGCTTGAAACGGGCTCCCTTCACGCGGCCAGTCACCAACATCTGCTCAAACCTCCCAAGCCAGCAAGATCTTCCTGTGTCCTTCTTCTTCTGACATACAGCGCTCACTTTGATCCATGTATCTGAATATCGTATGTCATTTTCGAGAGATATGGGATCATATCGTTCCTTTGGTTGAAGATATTCCATCGCAAACACGCCCTCTTCCTGCCACCCGCTATGCTAGAAAATCGACTAAAGAAAGCGCTCCGAATACGCTGGGGCTCCAATGAGTCAAAGCTTTGAAGAGTATATCTTGTCCAATGTCAAAGCGGCTAAGTAGCCAGCTGTCATAAAGAACAAGCAGCAATGTCTTCTCATCAGACCTCACCGAATATTACCACATGTCGTCGTCATCTTCGTCCAGCTGGGATCCACCTTGACGCGAACCCGTTTGGTGCAACTGCTCCTGTAGGTGATTGTTGTGATAGTACTGATTATATGCACCCACACCGCCGCCATATGCTGAGCCATTACTTTCTATCGAGTGCTTGCTTCCTCTCGAACTTGGCCGCGTACTGCCAGCTTCATATTCGTAATTTGACGGATCGCCCACAAAGTCCTGTTGAGAACCATATGACTGCTCAGCTTGGAGCGACTGTTGTTGCTGTTGAGCTTGTTGCTGCAGAGGAATTAGCACGAGCATTTTCCAGATGCCACCCCCCCCAAAAAACTCACCTGTTGATACCGCTGATATTGCACATACTCGTCCGGCTGTTGCTGTTGCTGCTGCTGCTGCTGGTCTTTCTGCTGCTGTTTCCGTTGCTGTTTGGCACTCGTGGGTAGATTCATCTGGGGGTGCATCTGCTGGACCTTCGCCAAATAACTGTACATGAAATTACTGAGAAGCACCTGCGAATATAGGGCTCGGCGAGGATTGGCCAATTTGATGTGTGCCATGCGGTAAATTGCCCTTTCTTCCAGAATTGAAAATCGAGTCCAATTATAGTCGATGTCGGCTTTCAATTCTCGGTAGGGCGGTTCAGGTGACAGACCTCGATCGCGGTATTTTTTGGAGCTGCCATCTTTATCGCCCTTACTCCTCTTGCCGCCAAATATGGAAGAGAAAAGGCCTTCTTTCTCCTTTTTGTCGCTTCCAGACGCTTTCCGCTGGCTCTCCTTTTTGCGTTCTTCATCGAGCTTCAGATGCTCTCGATCAAGGACAAGACTTTCGCGTCCTCTGACACCTCCATCGATAGACGTTTGGAGCACATCAAGTCTAGTATTGTCGTGTTGCTGAGGAGGTTTCGAGATTTTGGCCTTTGGCTTTTCCGATTTGTCCTTGTCTCCGTCTTCCTTGCCCAGGAGCCAACTCCAGCTCGACTTTTTAGTCTCTTCCTTTTTTCTAGGTTCAGCCCTCTTATCCACTGTGAGAGTCGGTATAAAAGACAGGTTGCTGGTATTCGTGTCATTTCCTGGCAAAGGGGATGGTTGTTCGAGGCTCTGTGATGGTCTTGATGGTGGCAGGATCTGATTTGCCGGAGATGGTGTTCGTGGTGTGATTGCTGGCATGGATCCTTTGGACGGCATTGATGGCCGTTGCGGGGAGATTGCTCTTGTTCGGCTATCTTCACGGGAAGATACTCTTTCAGGATGTCGTATTTGCGGTTGCGCAGGCGGAGGGGTCATCGAAGAAGATCTCGGCGGCTGGACAGAGACCGGAGGAGTCTCTGCAGGAGGCGGAGTCTCAACTATCTGGGGCACTGGTTTGCGATCGAACGAAGTGCTCGTGGACGGAGGAGATATTGGAGGAGGCGGTGATTTTCGCGACTCGGGCATGCCCGTCGGGGTCGTTCTTTTCGTCACATCGTCATTGCTGAATATGTAGTCAAATGTTGTTGATACAGAAGAAGTTCCGCTTGCGGAAGACGAGTTGGCCGGCCTCGAAAAATTGGTCGGGGTGGTCTTCCCGACATTTACTGCGCTAGATGGATCCTTCAAAGTCTGCGCGAGGTTGGGTATCTCCATGGACAGGTTCGGCAGCGGAGGAACCGCCGGGACGCTGGATTCAGGCGATTCAGGTCTGCTGCTTGAAGGGCTCCCACCAGCAGCCCTTCTCGCTGCACGTTGAGCATAGGTGCCTCGATCTCCCCTCCCTTTGACGCTTCCACCTCGTCTATACGTTGTTCTTGTGGACCTTTTCAGACTGGATCCCGGAACCGACGGCAGTATGATATCTGGGGCGTCGTCTTCCGACGAAGGCTCTAGGCTTGCCCTCGACAAACCCGGGGTGTTTGCGACCAAGTTTTCCAATTCTTGCAGGTTTGGGTCTGGGGGAGCAGCCCGGCGCGACAGTGATCTCTTCCTCTCTAACCGGTCCGCACCATCTTGATATCCCACAGAGCTATCAATCTGGCGAGATAGCATTGACTTCTTCCTGCGCAAGCCAGAACTTCCTCCTTCAGTACTCAAGGAGGACGAGCGCGAGGAGGACGGCGTCGCAAAAGCAGACAGCTCGCCAGATCTCCTTCTGATTTGCTCCGCTTTGCTTTCCAAAAAGGTCTTGAACTCCTTTGGGGCCAGTTCTGGGTGTAGTCGGGCAGGGACCCAGAACAATCTGGAGGAGTCGTCTTCGCTAGAAGAAGGGGATGGGGCACTAGGCATGCCGGCCGCGCTCAATTGAGGCAGGTCTGGATCATCGGTCGCGCCTATATGCATCGACATCCGCCTCAAGGCTTGTAGATTGCTCAGCTCTTGCGCCAGACCTGCCGGGCTGGACTCATAGTCAATATCGTTTAAAGGGAAGGGAGAGGTGGCGGTATCCGAAGGGGGACGTTCTCTCGAACTGGACGCGGGCGACGAAGATGCGTGATTGCGGTGATCCCAAGAGTGATCCTGACTAGACGATCGTCTCGAGACGCCGTTTGGTTGTGCCACAGCATGATCGCTTGACATGTCTCGGTAGGGTAACTGCTTCCTAGGTATAGACGGCGTCCTCCTTGGTGTTATGTCCTCTTCCATTTGGTGGTGGCCATTGATTTTAACTTGTGCTTGTATATTCGCAATCTGGAGCGAGTTCGAATAGGACGAAGGGTGCTGTTGGTCTTGTTCGGGATCGTCGTCGTAGAGGTAGCCAATGGTTTCGGTGACATGGTGGTTTTCATCGCTTATCGACAATTGGGGCAGGTGCCCCCTTTGGCGAGCCGCGAAGCTCGCGCCCGTGTCTCGACTCCGGGTTGAGGTCTGCAAGAGTCACCGTGTCAGTCTGGTTCATTACAGCATTCACATTGCACCTAATGTTCCTCCTTCGTCGGAACCTCTGTACCCGACCCTTAGAGCCAGCGTTTTCCACAACGATCCCGCTCGAAGGGAGAGGAAGCAATTCGACGAACCTGCATGGAGCGGACCGGGAGCCGTTACGGGTCTCCAGGGCTGACGAAACTAGGACTGTCCCTTATCAAAGGCGCGTGCAAACACAGGCAGCCAAAACCTTCCCTCCTGGCCCGCCTCCTGCGCGCAATGGCCGACAGGTTGGTGCTGCGGGAGGGACTCCTCTAATCATCGGACTAGGGCAGGGGAGGGTCGTAGAGGACTGGAGGATCGAGAAGGAATATTGGACGTTGGGCGACACTTGGCGGGCAATGGAGGTTGTCAAAAGGCGGCTGCGGTAATGGTGCACGAAGTTGCAATGACTGAGATCATGGGGGGAACGATCAACGCGGACGAGAGTTGGGTGCGGTTGTTGGTACCCAGGCACGCGGCGGCCCTCAGGGCCCAAGGTCAAGGTTCAGAAGACGGGGATGGTGCAGTGGCCGCTGACAGGGCAAGACAAGTGCCTGGTTACTCAAAGGGAGTGACAGCTGGACTGCTAAATGTAGAGTCGTGGGTTGGTGATGTGCAGGACAAGACGACAAGACAGGAGGATGGCCATCATAGCAGCCGCGCTCTTGCCATCCAATGGTGGGATTGCAAGCCCGTATCCCTGCTAGACGAACCCATATTATTGAAGACTGTGCCTTGATCAGTGGCGCTGGTGGACCCTCTCTACCTCGTACTTGTGCTCGATCATTCGCCTGGCGCCGTGCCTCCCTTTCCGCTAAATCCACCATCGGACAATTGTCACATCGCTGTGCTTCTCAGTCCTGACTTGCCAAGCGAGGCGGAAGGTTATCTAGAAGTACCCGGCGAGCTGGTAGCATATGAGCACTCTATATGTACTCCGGACAGTCTGTATGCTATCTACTTGTAGACAAACTGGAAAGCCCGTTCTTTACCCAGTACTCCCCGTGTCGACCTCATCTTCATGTCATTGACCAAGTCTCGTTGGTCCCATGTCTCGTGGCTTTGGATACCGAACTCCCAGATGGCAACAGCGCCAACTTTTCAAAGCAAATCAACCCCATGGATTATCAAATGGATCCGATGTACTTCCAAATCCTCCACTACTTTTGGCCGGCGGGGCCACTGGCGTCTGTGTTGTCGACGCCGAGGTCCATCCCCCAAAGTCCTCGTCGGCTGTCACTGATGCCTGTCGCACGGGTTTGTTGCTCGACGATATGGGCTCTCCCCATCCTCCATGGATATCATTCGGCGTAATGTGGGCTGGTGGTCTCCCTAACTCGACTTGGGGCTGCGATGGCTTTGCAGGTGTCGGGTCTGGCGCCCCCCAGGGGCTGCTCTCACTGCCTGAAGCCCATGGATCAAACATTGATGAATTGGTTTGAGGCATGGCTGGTGCTTTGAAAGGCTGGGGAGCTGGCTTCGGCCCCGGTGCAGGCTGCGAAGACAAATTAAAAGGTGAGCTAAACGTCGAGTTGCCGACAGTAGGTGATGATACTTGTGGCATGGGAGCTGGCTTGGGTGGCGAGGTAGGTGTCGAGCTGGCAAATCCACCAAAATCGTCAGTCGCAAACAAATCAGCAGAAATAGACGTGGCAGAAGGCCTAGGTCCTGGAGCTGCGGCGGGCTGCGGGGCCGGTGCTCTTTGCGTAAACGAGAAATCTAGTCCATTCGAGGTCGACGGCGAAGTGAGGGTAGGTTTTGCAGCAGGCGCTTTGGAGGGGAAGGCTTCAAAGAAACTGCCACCACTTAGGGGAGGCGGCGAAGCCACCTGGGCTGCAGAGGGCGTGGCTTTCGGCGCTGCAACAGGACTGGTCAAGCTGCCGAACGCAGAAAATGCGGAGGATGGCTGTGGTGCCGGGGGTTTTGTGGTGCTTGGGTTAGGGAAGCTCAATCCGCTGAAGGCATCAGCAAGTCCTCCAAATGCATCTTGCTTCGCAGCCGGGGGTGATGTTGCCGTTCCACCAAATGATGGCTGGCGATCATGCTGAGGTTGAGGTGCTGGTTGAGGTTTGGGTGCAGTAGAATACAGCGACAGAATTGAACTCTTCAGATCTCCTCGAGGATTGGTAGATGCTGGAGGGTTAGACGCCGCACTCGAAGGTCGACCAACGCCACTTGATGACGAGCCGCCAAAGAAATCTAACCCAAGTAGAGACTCTTGTGGCCTCGCAGCGGGTTTCGCAGCCGGAGCCGGGGCCACTGGACCAGTTCGCGTGGGTTTTGACTCAAGAATGTCTGCTGTGTTAGGCCTGACTGGTGGAGCTGGTGCGAAGTCGTCAAAGAGATTCACATTTGCAGCAGCACGAGGCTGCGGAGGTGGTTGGGTGGACGCTTGACGCTGAGAAGCCGACCTCTCAATTTTGGCCTTCTCTTGCACAATATTCAACGGCATATTATCGTCACCTTCGGCATCTAGCGTCGAGGGATCGGGCATGGGACCGTCCATTACCCATCTCTTGGATTCGTACTTTGTACGTATGAAGTTCTCAATCTTTGCTTCCGATGGCACGTGCCCCGGCGCCAACTTGGCCTCCCAGTATTTGTTCGCTCTTGTGTTGCCCCATTTCAGGACACTCTGCAGTTGCTCGTCCGTCCAGGCATCCAGATCAACCGACTTGACTCGACTGATATGAGTACCCATCCCTCGATGAATGCCCGAACAGCGAATGCAAATAAACACACCGAGATTCCAGCTTGCCCATCGTGGATGCTTGTTTCTTTTGCAGTCGGCGCAGACTTTGTTTCCTTCGAGCTTGACTAGAGCTTTAAGAGTTTGGGCATTCTGGGCCGCCCTGTCATTGCCGGGCCGTCGAGACATTGAGATTCAATTCACCGTGACGACTTGGAGAGGGGCCCAATTCGCGAGTCGACGGGTACCAAGTCTAGGGAAACGGAGGTCCGAACAGGCGAGGGCTCTTCAAAAGGGTAGACGGAAGCCTCGTTCGCTTGCTGGTCGAGGGCAGAGAATGGATTGTTCAGTGTCCGATCCGCAATGACGGCGAGACATGAAAGTTCCAAGTGGTCATTGCTGGCGGGTTGGAATGACAGAATTTCCCTGTCGGCGCTTTCTTAATGGTCTTGGGGCCTCCCGCACCCGCCGCTTTAGTGGAGAGTGTCTCGGGTCACGTGATGGCGCGTCAGATCGAGTCTGTTCTGACATCGCAGCGTCTTTTCGTTTGCCCTTCTGTCTTCGAAATCATCCTCCTCGCCTTCGATTCGATAAATCTTGTCTACTCCCAACTGAGATCACCTGTCCGAGATCATGCAGTGAAGGCTTCCCGCCGAGCACACTTTCAATACTGATTCTGGCATGCCTCCAATTGTGGATGGCGCATTCACAGTCACAGCCCACGACGCCTGCCACGATGTTCTACGCTTCAGCCTTTCCTGTCGAGCTCGTGCAGGATCTCTTCATACCATTACAGTCAAGAACGAAAGCAAGGATTTGGGAAATAGCCGGTCCTTGATCTGACCCACGTCCGCACTCGAGTCGGTAGAGAAGTGATGATTCCTCCTACCATACACACCCTCATCACTCCTTGCGCAAAGGTTCTTGAGCTCACGCAAAGGCATTATTTTTGGCCAAATCCATTACTTGTTCACGGATGGGGACGCGTCGGGTATCTGATCAAGCGGGTCCTGACGACTTTGGACATAGCATACGCGTGATTATGGTCGGTATATGTGCGTTCAAATACGTCAATACTTGGACACAGCCTCTTCCTTTGCTCAGGAGGGTCACCGTCTTTTCCCCCGCCAACACACGGCCATATTGGTTCTCGTCACGCGCTGAATGCTTTTTTTTTTGGCTAGCATGAAGAAACCGCACAGGGGCTTTCCTTTATTGATGAGCTAACTCTACGGACACAGCTAGGCATGCTTCTAGGATGATTGTGGAAGAGCCAAGCGGTTTGATCGTATCCTAAGTCTGTCACTCGCAACAGAGGTGTCGAGTAACACCTGCCACGAGACTTTGCAGAAATGAAGTCTTGAGAACGCCCTCTTTGCGCTTTGGCAGCCCAAAGAAAAGTAAAGATAGTCCGATGTTTGAATGTCGGCTCGAGTCTGACCCATTGCCCGTCTTTGGGCTTGAGCAGCCTCTGATGGGCCCCGGTCTCCCCGTACGACTCGAGCAACAACCGTAGTGGTGTATGCATCCTCGTCGCTGTACAGAAAATTTCTCTTCAGGGATTTACCTACTACGGGCTTCCATGGCTTTGCGCAGAATCTGATCGAAAAGCGATTCCAGGCTCCACGAATGGGAAACGGTGTTGCCTTGGTTGCCTGATGAGTCTGAATGGTTCTTCTGTATATGCCAAGATATGCAGGACGCTCTTTTGGTGCCCGCTCAGATTCTCAGCCTCATCGATGCCACCTGATGGTATCATGCTTTCTTTCATTCACCTTGTGGTCTTAGCACTCTGATTTTGGGATCAGAGCAGTTTGGCCATGGCTGATCCCGTGTCAATTGGCGCCAGTGCAGTTACACTAATTGACTCGAGTTCGACCTGTCTCACACAACTTGTGAAACTTATCAAATGCCTCCAAAACGCGCCAGCAGAGATCGAGGCGTTTTCTAACGATTTGACTGATCTCCAACACTACTTCGATGATGTTAAGGATCTCTGCGAGAAAATTCGCGCAGAACCGACTGAACAATTCCGATTCCCGACCGCTGTGTATAAACCTCTTAAAGATGCTGAACAAGCGTTGGCGGATTTGGGGGAAATACTCAAAAAGTCGCACTCACAGACTTCTAGCGCACAAAAAAGGCTGGCATGGATATTGCGGAGAGCCAAAGCAAAGAAAATTCACAAGCAGTTGCAAAGAATCAAATCGGAGCTTGGAGCTGCGCTGGTGTTATCCATCAAGGCTGACGGACATCATGTTAGCACTCGGATCACAAGAATCGAAACTCGGCTAGAAGCCTTGCAATCTACAGCTATCACGCACATACCATTCCTCATGCAGATTTTCGGGCACCAGCTCGAGAACAGGTTCCCCAGTCTACCTGAAGGCCCCCATCTGGAGTCTGGATGTCGAAGCCCACCGAATACTCCCATAGGAGACGCCGATTTAGACCAGTTGTCTAGTACAGCATTGATTGTCCCTAGTGGTGACTCCCAGATAGAAGGTAACGTATCATATTGGGAGCCGTGTATGTTGATTTTGACTCCCTCTAGATTTTAACAACATATTACAACCGGTTCATACCATAACAGACCCTTCATTACCCGCGAACAAGTTATCTTCGAATACCACGGTGTTTTTTCACGGTAGTCGCGTGCGTCGTTGCACTGTGTCGTGTGATTGTGTCTGTCACTCGGCGAGAAGATATCCCGCTCCTCCATTGCTGAAGAACTTTCTTGGTACTTTATTCTTGGGTTACTCTGGGTCCCCGGGGTTTTGGCCAAAATGCAATGTCAAGGCCTGCCAAAACTCTGACATGACGTCAATTGATATTGTGTACTGCTTCCCTTGGTGGTTTTGCCAACGATCACTACACATTTCAGCATCATTGTCTTCCTCCTTTGGTCCCTGTGTGCAAATTACCGCCAGAAGACGAGTTCCTTGGGACGGAGATTGGGATTCTTTGCTCAAATTTGCATTGACAGGGAACGTTGACGGCGCCAAATCACTGCTGCGGGACAGGAAGGCCTCGCTTACCGACGTCGACCCTAACCATGGACGTACGCCCTTACATGTGAGTGCAACTGGTGACTACGGTTGGAATCTGACTGACCGGCAATGTTGTATAGTACGCTGTGATTCGCAACAAAACTGACATGTGCGAGCTCCTTCTTGGAGTGGGAGCTGATCCGCATTTGCAAGATGATGATTACACGTAAGTCATTGGGCCAACCGTCTCCAATCCATCCCGAGCGTGCCCGCCCGCCCGCGAAGGAAGAGGGTGAAACTGAAGCAACAAAGATCTGAGCAATATGATACATTGTCTGACACCCCAAATTTCCACAGGACTCCGTCTCAAAAAGCCTGGGAGCAGATCCTCTGCAAGAGAGGGACGGTTGCCGAAATCGATGGCTTAAAGCGTTTGTTCCCGGGAACCGAAGAGCTTGAAACCTGGGAGTTTTCGTACGTTCACAAGGTTGTCCTGGAGATATTTCCTGGCAGATTGGCCGATGAGTTGCAGAATGAGCAGTACCGCAGCCAGATCCACGCCGTGGATTCCACGAATCGGACGCCCCTTCACTGGGCCGCAATCAGGAAAGACGTGGAAGCAGTGAGGTACCTTTTGGAGGCCGGGTCAGATGCCAATTGCCGCGATAGTTTCAATAACACACCTCTCACCTTTGCAGCGTCGACTGGCTCTGTACCTATCCTAGAACTCTTAATCCTCCATGGAGCCAACGTCCACGCCAGAACTTCCAAAGGCAGCCAGGCACTCCACAATGCAAGTCGGCATCAACGAGCCATTGAGCCGGTCAAGACTCTGTTACGGGCAGGAGCATCTCTGAACAGTACCAACGATCTCGGCCACTCGCCGCTGTCCGGAGCGGCGATCCAAAACCGCCATGAGATTGGGGGGTTTCTGCTGGACAAAGGCGCGGACATGAATGTGCGCAGCTTACACGGCGACACGCCCCTCTTCCAAACCATTTTCCACAACAGTCACGAGTTCCTGCAGCTGCTCTTGGAAAGAGGGGCGAGTCCCAACGACGTCAACAACGCAGGGTCGACCCTGTTGCGCGCGGCTGCGTCGGAGGCGGATGCGCGAACCGTTGAGATTCTGCGCACGTCGAATATAGATTGGACTCAGTGCCTGCTTCGAGATCCCAACGGGAGCATAGCGCTGGAGAAAGCAAGGCGTCGAGTGAGCCCCCCAAAGGGCTTCTTGGAGGAATTTGAACAGCTTGTCGCGGCATTGGGTCGGGAGGGACGGCTCCGAGTCGATTGCCCTTCCCAGAAGGAAAAGGCTGTCTAGAGCAAATCAGATTGGATATTCTCCATTTTAATATCGCTATGAATTTGTCCTGGTTGGGGTATGGTGAGATCATCAATCCGATCTATATGATTGTCAATTTGTCCAGAGGGGTCAGTCTTCCAGGATATCGGCCTAGAGACGTGTGATATGAGATATCGGTATTCTGGTTCCAAATTGCCACTGTGGTCGATACATATCCACGAGCACTGACCTCCGTCCGACCTATCGAGGTCTCCTTGACCAGCAACTGGATTCTCAGAGTCTCCACCCTCGTCGCCGTCAATTTCTATAGCTAGACTCAAGACATGTCCTTGAAAACTAAAGACTATAATGCTATACCTATATAATACATTTTTATTTCGTGCATACCCCACATACGAGCTACAGCGGTCCAATTTCCTGCCCTTTTTTCTTTCATTGTTATATCATTGGTGTTGGCGTAATTATAATTTGTTACTGCGCGACATTCCGATTCCGCGAGTCCACTAGGTCCTGGTGATAGATCCGGACGCGCTCGCGCATAAGGAAACATGTCTCCTCGAACACGTTCATGATCTCCTCACGAGCGTGCTCGCTCTCGAACTCGACGACGGCGAATTTCGACTTGCGCAGCTCGACGCTGCCGCCGCCCTTTCTGGCGTCCTCGTGCTCGGGGTACCCAAACACCGCTAGATTCCACTGGTCTTCGTGACGCGGTTTTGTCTCATGGATCTTGACCGGAACTCCCGTTTTGTGGTTATTGCTCTTGATGACAATCTTCTTGCACTTCCTGTCCGGGTTGTTGCAGTGGCAGTTCTCAGGGCTCAGTCGGGTACATTCGTCGATTTGGATGGCAACAAAACACTTTAGGCCCTTCTTGCCCTCTGTGAAGAGAACCAGTTGGGCTGAGATGGGCCGCTCAATCAGAGCCTTGTTGCCTGACTGTTGAATGCTGGTGCTACCATTGACCGAGGTAGCATATGACCGAGCCCAACCACCGGGTCCACCACCATTCCAACCCGACGAGCCCGTGAGAGTCGAGCTCTGTCGTGCCCGGGGGCTCGCCGAATCGGTCTCGGGAGATTTGGAAGGTTGCTCGTATCTCTTCTGGGCGCGGCAGACCCAGATCTGTGCTCTCCCGCCAGCACCAATGCTCTTCAGAGGCCCTATCATCGATTCCTTGATCTGAACAGATGCCACTCCAGTCTCGTCGGCAACAACGCCGAAATTTGTGATAGCCTCTTGCAACCTGTGCAGATCATCCAGTCGTCGGAATGTCAGAGCACGGCTTTGATGATCCGAGGCCTGTGCTTTCCAACCGAGACTTATAGCGTCAGCCGAGGCCTCCGGAAAGCTGTAGAAAGGCAGCAGGAGAACCCTTTGAGAGTCGATTTCGTAGTTTTCGATTGCTCGGTCGGTGCCGCGGGTGAGAGTCCGCACAAGTCTTATCCGACTCGTATTAATCCTTAGAACGGAAATCTGCTGTGCGCGCCCAGAGTCTTCAGGTAAAGAGGCACGAAAGATGCGGGTTTCCATCCCGTTTGGCTCGGTAAGGTCGTCGAAATCGTCCACTTCGTCAAAATGGACCCAGATCTCAAACTTGTCGTCCGCCTCTTGCAGAATCTGCTGATCGTTTGGCGCTATTAGTGGGGACTCGCGGGCATAGAATCGGCGACATTCATGAATGACTTTCCTCAGTAGCTGACGAAAGTAAGCACCCCATAGAACGTCCAGACATCTGGTTTCGAATTCCGGGTTTGCTTGGAGTTGTTTTACAAGCCACACGCTTTTCATAAGATTGATATACTGACAGGTATCCGGTCTCACGAGAAGTGGCGGCTCAAGAACGAACTTCTGAGTACTGTTGCCCAGATGGAGAGCTAGCGCATCAATTCCCTTCTCAATGGGAAAGGGGATCGTAGATCCCGAGTTGGTGGCTGAAACTTCGAATTTTTGCTCAAGGAAGTCTGGGACTTCGAGGAGTAGGCCGTTGCTATCTATTTCCAGTTTTCGAATGATCTGTTCGAGCGAGAAAATGATGTCTTCGTGAACAATGGCTATATCTCTCCTGAGATCGGTGTACATCTTTCTATATCAGAGTAAGATAGAGTCCAATTGTAGGTGAACAATCCTTACAGCTTCAGTGGGATGAGGATCAGGTTGATCTGTCCATATTAGCCACCAACCTTCCAACGATCGCTTCCTCCTACCTTTGAACAATGGAAGGATACTCGTCGTCCCAGATATTGCACATATTTCCCAAGTCCAGAGTTCCACTGAACATTGCGCACGAACCCTTTGTCCCTGCTGAATTGGCTGTTCTTTTTAATCAGTTTCTCGCATCGTTTCAAGGTGTCGGTAAAGTCGCCGACGATTGTGTAGAAAGAAGCCAGGTCTTGGGGGTTTTCAACAGTTCCGGGGGGACCCTGTCTGTTGACATGTTCGACCGAGACGACGATGGCCTCCAGACCATCTCCCAGAAGTGATATGTCCTTTCCGAAATCGAGGTATTCCTGCTCTATTTCCAGTCAGCGGAATCCTTCGTAGAGGTGAAATCAACAAGTACTGACGAGCACTCGTGTATTGGCTGAATCCAAGATCATAGATCGTGTACGCAATCCGCGCAGCAGCAGCAATCTCAGCGAGTGGTAGTGGCATGATTGTCGACTTGTCCAAACGGCGGGTTTAGGTGCGACCGAGCAGTAATGAAGGAAAACATTGCTCAGGCTGGTGGCAAATGGTGAGATCAACTGTCCGAATTGGTTGACTAGGCTGATTGCCCTGCTTTGCGAAGGCAGTCTGGACTGGGGACAAAAATTCCACCCGCCACCCCAGGGGTATCAGTTGAGAAGTCGCCGAGTACAGCGGCTCGAGCAAGGGGTCTCAGATCATCTCAATTGTTCTGGCAGTCCATGGCTTTGAGGGTGTGAGAGCATTGGTTGTCGGTCCTCAGCCTCATCGTTTAGCGTTATTTCAGTGCAGTAGTTTGGCGGGGCTGTACAGCCTGCTGGGCCAATTTGAGGATTCGCAATGACCTTGGCCAGGAGGCATTGCAGATTCTGGACTAGAAATGACGCTCACTCGACGCCTGGTCTTCGGATTTCGCCCAATCGAGACCAACATGGAATCGTATCAACCGAAACCTTGACTCACCAAAATGTTGTGGCTTGAAGTCCCTCTCTAGCGGCCGCCTTTTCAAAGCATACGGACCTTTTCTTAGGAATGTGACTGCTTGGCTCCGAATACATTGCGCCGCAGCTGTGGCGGAGTGGAGGTGGAAGCCCGGTAGAAGATGTTGTTGCAATCTGACGTTCCTTTATCAACGTTTGATTTCAGAGGTGCGTGAAGATTCTCCTCGTTCTCTCGCCTTGGTTGAAATCTATGCTTCGTTGCCCTTCTCAGCCTTATCTCCTCTCTGTTCAACATGTCCGAGTCAAGAGAAGCCATCATGCAACGCATTGAAGAGATGGAAGTCGAAGACGGAGCAGAACGCCCAAGATTCACAGAGGAGGAAATGGAGAAGATCCGGCAAGCCAGGGTACAGCCTAGGACCGTTGTGACAACCCGTCCAACCTCCCTGGGATACCTATCCATTGCCTGCATCATAATCAACAGGATGGTGGGTAAGTCTTCGCCACATAAGACACTCCAAAATACCTGGACGAGGTGCTGATTTTCATTAAGGGACTGGAATTTTTAGGACACCCACCACGGTCGCTCATGGAACCCATAGCGTAGGCTACAGCCTCGTTTTCTGGGCAGCTGGGGCCATAGTCGCTGTCTCTGGCGTTCTCGTCTTTGCGGAGTTTGGCATGACTGTCCCAAGGCTGCCAGTTGAGAATGAGCACCAAAAAGAATCAGTACCTCGAAACGGGGGCGAGAAAAACTATGTCAGTCTATCTTCGACATGAGAGGACTCGGGGCTAACCTTTGCGAAGCTCGAATATATGGTCAAACGACCACTCTATCTTGCCACTTGTATCTATGGCATTCCCTTCATCTTTCTGGGAACCGCAGCCGGCAATGCGATTGTCTTTGCCGAAAACATCATGCAAGCGGCCGGCAAGGAGGCCATGAATGCCTCAGTTCGAGGAATTGCCGTCAGCGTGATAACATTTGCGTGTTTGCTGCACGCCATCTCGAGAACCGGAGGCGTCTGGCTGAACAACTTCTTTGGCGCCGTCAAGTTCGTCATGCTGCTCGTCCTGTTCATTCTCGGGGTAGTGTATGCCGCTGGAGGCTTTGGCGGGAGCGACGAAACGGCGGCGAAGAACCTGAACGTTCACAAATCCTTTGCTGGAGCCGCGACGTCCTCTTACGGCTATGCCGAAGCCTTTCTAGCAATCATATTTGCAATTGGGGGTTTCAATCAGGCCAACTATGTGAGCACACCTCCGAGGACGGCGGAGTGTAGACTCCAGACGCTGACATTGGACAGGTCCTTGGAGACATCGATGATCCTCGAAAGAAGTTCAAGCACACTGCTGTAACCACTGTCAGCATTGTCAGCATATTGTACATCTTGATCAACATATCCTATGTGGGTTACCGCAGGTCCAGGATGCGCCGTTGTCACCAAGCTAACCGTCTCGTAGATGCTGGTCGTGCCTACCTCGGTCCTGTTCGAACACGCAGATGACACCGTTGCCCGGCCGTTCTTCCAACGCATCTTTGGAGAGAAAGCCGCCGACAAGGTCCTCTGTGGCTTCATAGCCTTTTCGAGCTTCGGCAACATCATCGTCCAGACCTTCACGGCGGCGCGGGTGAAGCAAGAGATCGCCAAAGAGGGCATTCTCCCGTGGGCAAAGTTCTTCGCGAACAACTACTCGCTCTGGCCACGGCGGTTGCGGCGTGACACCAGAGCAGAAACCTCGGACGACACACCGGCGGGCGCACTGATCCTGCACCTCGTCTTCGCTGTGGCGTTGATCCTCCTGACGGTGCCAGAACAGAATCCGAACGATGCCTATCGGACCATGGTCAGCCTCTACTCGTTCACCATCGACGCCTTGTTCGGGTTTGCCGTGGGCCTGAGTCTGCTCATCCTGCGGCTTCGACCAGGCTACCACTGGGCGAGCAAGTCGGACTCAAATGCGTACGTGAGCATTTCTGCCGCGCTCATCTTCACCATTGCCAATGCATTCCCGCTGGTTGCCGTCTGGATTCCGCCCTCTGGTGACACGGGCATCACGCAGCCGGTGAAGTGGTATTTGACGGGTACGATTGGCATGGGACTGATTGGCTTCTCTCTGATGTATTGGGTTGTGTTCTCCTATGTCGTGCCTCGGTTGAAAGGCAAGAAGCTGGAGGTGGAAAGGGAGGAGATCCTCGATGATCGAAACGGTTACTGGATCATGTGGCACGAGATTGTGCGGTTCAATTGGAGGGTTGTTTGATGTGTCAGCCTCTTGTTGTTGCCATTGGTATTCATTCACCAAATATACCAACATAGAGCATCAGTGTATCTTATATCAAGCCTACCGTTTTCATTACCACTTCCACCTCCACCACAACTCGATATAATAGATACATAAACTGGATGTCCTCCCGCAATCGACCATAGGATATGGAAAGCAGGGCTTCCCGTTCGCTCAGCCGTACTTAAGCCATATGCCGGCCTGTTAGTACCAAGGTGGGTGACCACTTGGGAATCCAGGCTGTTGATTGTTTTTATGCGCGATTTCTCTCTCCTCTCCCTTCTCTCACTAGTCACCTGACTGCCGCATGGAACCTTGCTCCTGTGAAATTGATCGACCACTCATTCGTCAAATAACAGGAACATGGTGTCGATGATGTTTTGGGGTATTTCTTCTTTTTTTCTTTGTCTTGTTTTCTCTCTAAAGAACAAAAGACTCGAGAAGTCTCTCTATTTCGCCTCCCCATCCCCTTCCTTTCCCGCTTGTGCATCACCCTCGTTATCGTGAAACTTCAGACTTATACTATTCACGCAGTGTCTCTCGTCCGTCGGCGTCGGATAGCCCTCTCCCTTGAACACATGTCCCAAGTGCCCCCCACAATTCGAGCAGACGATCTCTGTCCGTTGCATGCCGAAGCTGGTGTCGGTGTGCCGGGTTACGGCACCCGGGATGCTGTCGAAGTACGCGGGCCAGCCGCACCCGGACTTGAACTTGTGGTCTGCTTTGTAGAGAGGGGCGTTGCAAGCGGCGCAGGTGTAGACGCCGTGGTCGGGCATGTGCTTGTCATACTCGCCCGTGAAAGGGGCTTCGGTTCCTTTTTCGCGGAGGATGCGGAATTGTTCTGGAATCATCAGCGGCGGTCAGTTGTGGCCGTCCGCAACGCAACAATATGTAAAGTTGGTCTCGCTGGACATGGACGAGGTGCGGGACGAACCTTTGTTCAGCACTGCCCTCCACTCATCATCCGATCGTGCGTCCGGGTAGGTCATCTTTGCTGAAGCTGGGGTTGAGGTTCCGAACAGAGCGCTCAGGAAAGGGATCGAGGACATGGACTTTGGGACGGTAGCGCGACGGATCTGGGAAATGCGATTACCCCGCAGTGGTTGCTGGAATCGGAAAGCGGTGGCGTTGCCGAGCGTGTAGAGTCTGCGGACAATATGAGGGAAAGATGGAAAGCGCATCAAGAGGCTGTGGATGAGACGAAGGAGAATATATACTGTAGACCTTGTTGGATCCGGCAATAGAGCGAGGGAAAAAGGACGAAGCCGGAGAAAGGAGCATTTGAGATTCAGGCGAGCCAGACACCCTCGACTCCCCCAGCGCCCCCAACGCGCCATCGGTGATGATGCAATGGAAAGCACCGAGAGTGTTGCGATTGGTTGAAACTCAAGACAAGTGGGCGCTGATTGTGGAATCATTTAGTGCAACGAGGCTGAAGCACGTAGCGAGGCGGCGATTTGGAATTCTATACAAGTACGACGACATAGCTCCCAGCTCTGTCCCTCTCCCTCTAGGTCCCTGTAATTGTCTTCACACCGAGACATTCCTCACCCATCTCAATCAGCGGCGGTTCTTACCCGTCACCAGCAACTCACCGTGTCCGATCTCGACTTTCCATCCCTCCCTCATGAGCATCTTGCTCACCGCTGGCCCTATCCGCGGCGCGTGATTCTTGCTATGAGTGCCCACTCCAGTCACGATTTTGAAACCAACTCTGGCAGGTCCGCCACCGCCAAAAGCATATTTGGCATCGCCCAAGCCATCCCACCAGCTCTGTGTTTTTGTGCCGGCGATTCGGACCGCATCTTGGACCGTCACACCATGAAGATCGAGAACGGTTGGTGAGGACTGTTCAGCTACGAGCAAGTCTGCTTCTGCAGCCTTGGCCTCTTTCGCCGCTCTGATGCGTTCTCGTCCAATCTCTGAGTAATGCGCGGCGACTCCTCCATAGAGCCGATCGGATTTACTTCGTTTGTACGCAGCACCCGCTTGATCGAAACTTTGACTTGCTGCTATCCGCAAGCTGGCCGCAGAAGCTCGATACGGGGTTTTCGCCATTGCCGATGTCGCGGTCGAAGTTCTGTCGGGAGCTCTATTTTCCGTGAGGTCGAGAGGGGCGTACTGGGCTGCATCGTGCAGCTTCCCGGGTGTTTGTGCGTTCTCGGATACTGACATGGCCTGCAACAACTCCTGCGCCGCAGACGGAATGTTACGGGCTAAGCTCAGTAGACCGTACATTTGTGACTTTGGTACATGTTCAAATTGGCTCTGGAATTCAGCAATCTGAAGATCGACGATGGGATCGGCTTCTGGCAGTTTAGTATATGCCATCCCTTCCGTGATCGCTAGAGCACGAATGGTGGATGCGAGTCGCGCACCATTAGAATGATATATCGACCGCACTACTTGGGGTTGGAGCTTGGTCCTTGAGCAAATAAAGTCGACATCTTCAGACATTGTAGCCCACACGTTGGTGGGAACGGATTCCGATTCGTAAGGCGACGAAGAAGCTGAGCTCGCACGCGAAGATTCGTTGGTCCGAGGTTTCCGTTTCTTTCTTCCTTTCCGCCGAGGCAGCACATCTTCTGCAAAACCATCTACACCCTTCAATACAGGCACATCTTCTGGTTCTTCCTCAAGACCCTGATTAAGGAACGAGAGGTTGAGAAGCTCGTCAACGGCTTTGTCGAGGCATCCTCCGTGACTCTCAAGGACGCTGGCCAGCTCACGCTTGGGTATGCCCGGAAACACATGCTGCAGCCACGCCGTCTTCTTCTCGATCGACGAGTTGTCGAGATCATGTTCCAGGCCGTCAGAGTCGTTCCATTTTAAATCGGAGACACCAGTGGTTATGCTCGTCACATCGTTTGAAAAGATATCTTCGGGGCACGACCTAGACGTGTCGGTTGCTTCTCTGAGGTGCACAGGAGCTCCTGTACCTGAAGGATCAAATTCTGCGTCCTCCTGTTCTATGGCAGTGGCCTTCAACCTATCGAGAACCGACGTCAAGGCCGCTCTATCCTGGGGCAGCTGATGATCGGACACGATCGCGTAGAAAAGTGCATCGTCTAGCGGAGGACAGTACTGGCCTCGAAGAGCCTCGCAAAAGTTAGCACAAATGGCTAGGCGACGGGGTTGGATCACGGCCATACCTCCGTCTGCGAAGATGAAGGTTCCAAGTCGCCCATTCTGAGATATTTCCGCGGGTCATGTTTGGTTTGGCGAGGCCAGTCTGGGATTTTCTGGGGCAGTCTGGTGGTGGGAACGGTAGAAAGGCCGTGCGAGGTACATTGTTGAGAGAAAGGCTAAAGCGTGAGGGGGGAAGGACCTTTATATGGAGTCCGAGATCATGCTGTAACTCGATCTGCAAGTGCGCTCATGCACGACATGGCCAGGATGAGAGGGGCATCGGACTTCGGTTGGCCGCCTGCGACTGCCTCGCTACCGCTGGTACTGTACCGCCTAAGTCACTAACTGGGAGAGCCTGGAGCTAGTAGCTCACCAGCCACAGTTGAAGCGCCCGCTTCACTGCCGCACCCCTGTTGGCCCCCAACAACCATTACTGCCTCGATGGTTCTAGCCCGACCGCCCTTGCTCTCCGCGGAGGCGTCCTCGCTTCCTCTTGGACTGCCCGAGTTGTGATCAGGACAGTTTCCCGTCTTTCGTCCCAGGAATTGACACGCTCAAACAAAGCCACCACCATTCCTATGACTCCGTACGGACTCCCCACACCATCTCTCCCAACGATTTTACGCGCTATACGGAGTGTTCGCCATGTACATGGCAATTTGGCTCGAGAGGTCGCGTGTCGTAGTATACTCGGTGTTGCAGCGGAATGATGCGGGCTTCTGAGTGTAGATCCGCTTGATGAATGTTGCAGGGGGAGGGGCCTCTGGGAAAGGGAGACGGTGTCGACGCGCCTAGATATAAGTGTTGAGAGTTGTGTCCCGTTGATCCACTCGAACGGATCTTGGCCACCATTACTGCCCCGAGCTGTGCTAGCAAGAAGTCAGAGCGAGCAAAACAGTGTCAGAAAGGGGATTCGTCGAAACAGATGGCTTACATGAACTCAGATGTTCGACCAGGTTGGAGTAAAGGTCAAAACGGAGGCGCTCGTCCATCTTCCATCTTCCAATCGATTTATTAGCAAGGGCAAGCCTAGACGGCTCTGTGCCTTTGACGCTCCCTGTATATTGCATGCCGGCAAAGGGATTTGGAACCGTGGCATACATGGAGTCGGTGAAGGAGAACAGGAGCGTAGCTCTCATCGGCAGTTACCGTTCCTCCACTGACCAGGCCCTAGCTCATCAGCATATAAGGGAGCCTTTATCATGCAAGGTCTCACCCAAGAAGAGGAGAACGGAACTGAGCCACGAGTATAGCTGCATCCTCGTTCCCCATATCACATCCCGAATATGAAGAACGCAATGCGACTATGTGCAGGAGAATTTCCTGAATCTAAAGCTGATTCAAGTGGGCATGTCTCCCAGACATTGACTGGCATGTCCATACAACGAAGCTGTTGTCTAGTTACGCAGATCTCCCGAGGTCGTCCAATCCGCGAGGAAAAGGGGGTCGGATACCCAGTATAACACTTGGAACAAACGAACTCAACTTACAGGACAGATCAAGTGGTCTCTGCCTATTGTTCCAACCTTTTGGACAGGAGGTACATCTCGATACCCGATTTTCGCTTTCTCGCGAATACTTCCGGACAGAGGCTCATGGTCACCACGTTCGTTGTAGTGGTACATGCCGGATCGGAACTGGGCGCCGGGAGATCTACAGCCCCAGCTTCGATCGGGAAAGAAGGGCGCTGCCTGCATAAAGGGGTTGGCAGCCTTGAACGTCTTGCGGAGTTGTAAAAGTGACAGCCAATTGCGATCGCTGCCATTTCGATCCAACAAAGGAATTTCCACGAGGTGTAGCACTGGCGATCCGGGCAAAGCCACTGAGCCGTGCCGCTCGTCGGCACTGGTGTAGGGTCAAAATCATGACGACGACAGCTTAGGGTTTCTTCACAGACCTTCATGTTAGAAGAAAACCAGGAGGAGAATCACCTCAAGCACTTTGCAGTGAGAAGGCAAGTCTGAAAGATACGAAAGGGGTATGTATGTTGACAGAAGGAAAGCACAAAGAATATTTGCTGCTGCTTGATGTGAAACTTGTGAAGCCCCTGGTACAAGCGGCCAGGCAAGGTTTGGGTTTGAATTCTGGCGTCGACGTCGTCGGCCCCGCTCCAGGAAACTCCTTGGCTCCTCAGCCTCACCAGCCTCGCAGCGCAGCCTTGCACAGCGTGCTCCATACAATCGGTACACAGATCCTTCTCCACATACTAGGTAGACATCATCTCGTATCCACCTGGCCTCATGGCTCTTGTACCAGAGGTAATGCATCCTGCTCGTGCCATTCACAATTATGCCAGTTGACTGTAGGGCCGCCGTCTCTCGCAGGTAGGAGTGGCGAATATCTGAGCCGTCCGGATTATATCAAAGATTCATCCGTAGCGGTTCCGAGACCTGTGGCATCTTCGACAATGCAGTGGACTTGGGCATTCGTATCAGTATGCTCATCCTCATGTTGGTCCGGAATGCCCTACCATGATGTAGCGGTCCAATAGAGACTGTGTATGCTCTATGCAATCGTATGCCCACAGAAATTTCGCGATTTGCGCTTGGCTGACTGCGAAACTGTCAGCGAGTTCCACAAGGTAGAATGACAAGGGGTTAGAGACTGACCAGGAGCAGGATCTGGGGAGAATGAGCGCACGATTTCGGCTGGTAAGGTCACACTGTCCTCAACAGCAGACATACGAGCCCGGGACAACAGCTGCACAATGGATGTTCGTCGTACGCGCAGTTCGTCGTTTAGAACCAGGCGATTCGTCACATCCGACTTGTGCTGGAGTCCACTCATAAGGAGTCCGAGGGTTGCCCCGTCTTCGATCGCTTGAGCTGCACCTTGACCCTGCCTCGGCCACATGGGATGA